CCTGAGACGTGCATCCTGATGTGCCTCTCTCCTCCATGCCCTGGGCAAGGTTTGATCTCATAGCTGCTTACGGCGGCCCATTGTCTCTAGTAAACTGTCAAGGGTTAGAAATGATCCTTACCTGGAAGACTCTTGTCTCTTCCCTGAAGCTGGTAGAGTAGTGCTGGATCCTAACTGATGTCTGCATGAAGCCAGCGTAGCGTACTGAGGCCAGAGGTTGTGTTCTATTGAATTTTGGTTTTCTAGCCTTTCAGTTTCCTGTGCTTTGGAATCTGTGGGCTCATTTGGTGTTTCTTGGTCTACTGATTTGCTTTCCTCATAGAGCTTAGACACTCAGAGTAAGAGGTGATGGGCATGCCCTAGGCTACTCATTACTGATACCAATTCCTGCTTGGTGCTGCAGACTCTTTTTTTTAAGGGCAGGGTAGCTTGTCTAGAGTTAAAAAAAAAATACCCCAAGTTAAGAAAATCAAGCTATTCTGGACTCCTGTTTAGCTGCTAAAAGTTGGTGCAATTACTTTTTTGAATTGACATTCTCATTATTCAGTAAAGATGAATGTGCTCATTGATTATTCCATTAGCAATGCCCTTGTAGCAACTGGTAACTGTTCCTGCTTTGCCCCTCACAGGCCGCTTTCCGTGCTGCAGCTGAGTCATCTTGCTGCAGCTAGCAAGTCTTGTCCGTTCAAGACCTTCCAATCCCATGTCACTCACAGATAGTCCTTACCACAGTCCATACCTGAGACTTGCTCTCTGTGCCCCTTTGTGCCTGCCTGCAACCTTTCTCCTGGCCAGTTCTTTTCCAGCTATGGCCTCACTGTTTGCGAGCACAGGATGGGCATCTCCCACTTCGTAGCTTGGCACGTGCTCTGCCTCAGTGTGGGATACTTTCTCTACAGCATCTGGGTGGCTCATTGCCCCTCACTTTATTTCTTTGCCTAAATGTTACTCTCTTGTGCAGTCAGCAGACCATGTTGTAAATTCCCTTCTAGCTCTTCTGTCCTAACTTGTTATTGGTTCCCGCCTGTGCTCTTACTACCCTTGGATAGGTGGCATTTTAATTTAAGTGTTTTTAAAATTGATTTTAAATGTACTGTTGTTAGTGCATGTATGTGTGTCTATACACACATGATGTATACATGCCGGTACACATGCCTTAGCATACATTCTCTCTACCTTTATGTAGGTATCAGAGACTGAACTCAGGTTACTGGACTTGTGTAGCCATCAACTGCCTTTGCCCTCTGAGCCATCTCTCCAGCCCAGGAGAAGGCATCCAAGTTTTTTCTTGTGGTTTTGAGGCAGGGTTTAATGCAGCCTAAATGGGCCTGGAGCTGGATGAGGCCAGGGATGAACCTGAAGTCCACCTTGAAGATGGCTGCAATTGCATTACAGGCCTCTGTGTCTTCAATATCTCATTTTAGCTTGTTCTGGGAATCAAACCCAGGGCTTTTGGTTTGCTGGGCTGGTGCTTTATCCACTAAGCCTCATTCCCAGCAATATATTCTAATCATGGTTTCTCTTCCCCCAACTTTCCCCAGACCCTCCCCATCTCCTCATCTACCCAAATTCAGTCATTCTCTTCTCTGTTATTAGAAAATGGAAAACTAAAACAAACGCACCAGAATAGGAATAGGAAAAGTAAAACAGGAAAAAAAGACAAAACCAAAAGCAAAATAAACACATACAGATGCAGACTCACTTGCATACATAGAAATCTATACAAACACAAAACCAGAAACTATAGTGTATAAACAGAACACCTGTGAGGTAAATAAATTCCAGACAAAGCATAATGAGACAAAAACCCTCCAAAAATACCATTGAATTGATTTTGTGTTGACTGTCTACTGCTGGACGGAGGCCTGCCCTTGAACGTGGTTTGTATAGTCAGAGAGACTGTTGGAGAAAATTAACTTTTGTGAGTGGTTTTAGGTTTTGCAAGTGGTCATAAGTTGGAAATAGTTTCTGGGTGGGGACTTGTGTCTACTCCTCCTGTCCGCACCGGAATCCCGTTTGGCTTAGACCTTCCACAAAGTACCCTGTACCCTGAGGGGAGGGCTTTGATGAAGACATTTAGAACTGAGTGTTCTGAGGTCTCTCACTCTTTGTCCATTGTCCAGTTGTAGGTCGCAGCATTTGTTCCCATCTGTTGATAATGACTGAGCAAGGCACTGATCTGAGAGTAGAATAATGGAGTTAGAAGTAATTTTGTTGCTGTGTTCTTGTAGCACACAGAGTATTTGGTTTTCCCCTGGGTCCATGGCTTATCAACTCTCAGGTTCTTGGCCACCTGAACAGTGTCAAGCCTGGGTTTCTTTTTGTGGAGTGGGCCTTAAATCCAACCAGATAGTGGTTAGTTATTCCCTCAACTGCTGTGCCTCTCTCACCAGCGTAGTATGCAGGCAGGTCACCATTGTAGATGACAGGGTTTGTAACTGGGTTGCCGTTTCACCTTCCTCCTCTGGTATCTAGCAGAGTACCTTCCTGTAGGGACGATGGCTCTAGGTAGGTACCAGCTTGACTTCTCCATGCTCTGACTTATATAGGTTTTGTCTTCAACCATAGGGCCTTGCCATCAGGTTTTGGAGAGTAACCAATTGCTTTGGCAATAGCTTGGGTTGTTTGGGGTTTCCATGGGGCCGCTTTGGCCAGCAACTCAATTAGATAAAACCCATTCCTGGCACTGGAGGTTTCACTTGATGGTTAGAGATGTCTAATTGGGGCTTTTTCTCCCTGGGTGGTTATGTGGTGATCTCCTTTGAATTTCTTTCATGTGTGTATGTACTTTAAGAAGCTTCTACTATGGTGGGTTTCCCTAGGGCCCCACAAATGACCCTTAGTGTTAGTTGTTCCTCCCCATGTTTCTTTTTTCCCTTCCCTCTTCTCTTCTCCTTTCTGTTTAATCCTCCTGTTCCAGTCCCTCCTTACCCATCTGTCCATCCACAATCAATTTCTCCTTTGGGAGACCCCCCCAGTCCCTTCTATAAACTGATTCCCATCTCAGTGTGCCTAGTGACAGTGGCACTACAGAGCATTTATGACTTTGGGTTCAAGATTGTTTATATTCATTTTATAGATGGAATATATGTTGAAAATGAATTTGTATCTATTAGCAAGAAGACAATAAACCATTGAAAAATGTGCTAAGAACTAGGCCAGGGGAGAAGGTTCTTTCTGATACTGGCATTGAGAGTTCCATGCTTGCTAAGTTTGTCAGTAACCTCCACAGCCCAAGATCCAAATGTGCCTTTCCATCGTCTCTCATGATGTGTTCCTAAGCACACAGCACTGCTGCCAGGCTCCCTTTGAACCCAGCCAGCCCTCTTCCCACTGCCTCTCTCGGACTCTGGTCATCTCACAGCATATTGTTCCAGTAAAACCACACATGGTCTCTTATAGAATGCACGTTACAGGTCACAGGATGGCAGGTGAGCTGGAGGGTTTCATCCATTGTGACAAGAGAGGAGGTCAGGTTTGGACAGTAACCTGGATATGAGTGGGTGCAAGTAGATTGTATGCTTGTGTCTTAGATAAGGAAATTTCTTTCTGAAACTGTGTTCTCCTCATAAACTAGGCTGTTGCATCATTTGCTGAGAATTACAGTTTGGAAAGGGGAATTGGAATTTCTGAAGAAAAACAAATGATTTGACATAGGCATTTTAGAGAGCAGTTGCCGAGCCTTTGAAAGGATTGCTGGTACCCACTGCAGTCTGCTGTATGCGTGAGCTTGAAGCTGGGCATCAGGTACTTGCAAGTGAAAAATAACAGGGACATTTTGCTATCTGTAGATATTTGTTCCTGCATCCAGGGAGCTTATACACATAGGAGGATTTACCATGTGCTGTGAGAGGTAGTTTCTATGGGAAAGGGGGCAGTTTCAGTAAATGTGTACAGGAAGTAGGTGGGAGAAAGGCTAGTGCAGAGGTCTTGGTACCATGGTAATGGAAAGACAGGCTGTAAGTTCTCCTGGATCTCTGTGCACTATGAAACACATCACAGAAGTTTATGGCTTTAAAGAAAATTTCATGAAAATATATAACCCCCTAACGGAGCTTATGCATACCTATTTTAGGGGAAATTTACGAGTAGCCATCCAGTGTGTAGTGAACATCACGCTGTACTGTGATTTCCCAGTGTGGCTGTGAATTTGTAGAGCTTAGTGAGTGTGAGTGTCATTGTGATTCATTCAAGCTTTTTTGCCCACTCTCCAGCTTAAACAACAACAACAACACACACCCCCCACCCCCCCCAACCCCCCACTCATCAAATTTGAATCCAGGACTTGAAAAAAGCCAGTTATCTAAATACAGTATGGTATTGTGATAAATATAGCATTGATATTTTAGATCTATTCATAAAACTTTATTTTAATATTCATAGGGAACTTTTTTGGACTGTTATCTGAAAAACTGAGGGCCATTTTATCATCAGAACTGACTATTAATTAGGTTATTGTTTCAGAAATAAAAGTTGATCTGCCGCTGAAACTCTCTTTGAATATGTATGGTTCCAAGCTTGCTTTGTGTATTTAATAACTTTAGTACTATAATCACTCTGTTTACAATTAAATTTTGGTGAATATGCTAATATGGAATGTAACAGTGGGTGATTTCAGCAAAGGGCAGTGTGGATTTGCATTTTGATGTGCTTTTCAGTTACATCTGCATTTCCTTTAGAATTAAAGGGAAAAGAAATGGTCAGATTATGTAACAATCATGTGAGGATGAACCGACTGTCTTCCCTCTGTTGCACAGGCCGTTATTACTGTAGGCTTGAGCTGAGTACTGAAATTATACAGATTGAAACTTTCTGACAAGTTGGTTTTTCTGTGTATTCCTTAGTGGGAACCTCAGTGCTGGGATTGGTTTTATTGTTAGAAGACACCTCTAATGTACTTATGTAGCTGTTTAATTGAAATTAGTGTCTGCAGTTCTTTATTTTAAATTTTTAGCTATTTTACATCAACCACAGTTCCCCTTCCCCTCCACTCCTCAGAAAAAAATATGGAATGCTTCGCGAATTTGCATGTTACCTTTGCACAGGCGCCGCCATGCTAATAATCTCTGTGTGGTTCCAGTTTTAGTGTATGTTCTATGGATGTGAGCACAGTGTCTGCAGTTCATTGAGCGCTCACCAGCTCACAAGTATGTGTGGTTATCTTATTTTTGTGAGCAGGGGTTCCTGGCTTAAGAAGTTGTCTTTTTCAGAAATTGCCTGCAAAGCAACAGTAGATCGACACATCCAGTTTCCTTGTTCTCAGAAGCTAGGAGACTTCCTATTACTCTTAACTAGAAAGTAAGAGTGGTTTCCCGTGCAGTGGTAGTCAGTCAGAGCCGCGGAGGCATGGTGATGGGTCTAGAGCTCAAATAGAGCTGGTACAGTAGAGCTCACCAAAGGTAGTTGTGCCTCCAGAAGTACATACCAGGAAAGGGACATTTATGATGGCAGGAAGAGGCTCTTTGGGCTCCTGTGTGAGGTCAGAGGACCATGTCTGGTGATATTCCTCAGGAGCCATGCCCTTTCTTTGAGACAAGGTCTCACTGGGGTTAGGCTAGTTTGGCTGGCTAGTGAGCCTCAGGGGTCCACTTGTCTCTGCCTCCTCTGTGATGCGATGACCAGTGCATGCCACAGCAGCCAGTGTCCTAGGGGTTAGACTTAGGCCCTCATGCTTGCATGGCAAGTATGTTACTGGCCGAGCTCTCAGCCTGAGGCTGGTTTCTTTTAATGGAAATAGTATTTCAAGAATATGGTTCATGTGCTGGGGAGTACGTATAATTAAGTTACTGAATTGGTTATTGTTTCTATGCTTTTCTGTGGGTGGGATTGCTAAATATGAAGGCTTGTATATGTATTTATGTGTATACTTTTCATAAAAGGTAATTTCAAGTACAATTGTGTTTCTTTTTTCTTTTCTTTTCTTTTTTTTTAAAGACAGGATCTGTCTTTGTAGCCTAGGCAGGTTCTGATCTCTTGTTCCTTTTAGTTTGGATTCAGTAGCGCTAGGCTTCAGTCATATACCTGTGTCTAGTTCAAGTACAGCGTTCTAAACTGTACCTCTCATTTCTGTCTCCTGTTCACATTTGTGAATTTAAGGAACAAAGGAATAATCGATTAAAGAAGTTACTTAAGTATAGCAGTCCTCTGTTATCCCAGGGAGTCATTCCAAGATCCCAGTGGATCCTGGAAACCATGACTGTTAGTGGAGCTTATACACACTGCTGACCAATGCACATAGTATAGATCCACTTTACTTTATAAGGTGAGTGGAGTCAGCAGAGTGTCTGATTAAGTGAGGGGCCTGTGGTTTCTGTGTCTCAGACATCTATCTCCTGTACTCAGTGTTGTTGTGGGATGGGAATGTTGCCTCCTTAATGAGACCAAGTATTGTGAGGTAGTGGTGAGCTGTCGACTGTGTCACTTAAACACGAGCTCTGTGATATCACAGATACTTGGTAACTGAGATGACTTCTATAACTGTGGAAGAGCAGCATACATAGTGGGGATGCATTAGACAAGGGGTGGTGCCCACACAGAGGGCTAGGCAGAGTGATGGCTCTGGGTGCACCCATTACTTAGAATGGCACACAGTATTAAACTTTATGAAGTGTTTATTTCTGGAATTTTGCATTTAGGTTATTTTTGACCTTGTTTGATCATGGATAACACGGATGATCTGTGGAAAGGTTAGTAAGAGATTGCTGGTCTGCTGTGTGCCATTTCACGTTTATGCACAGTATTCTAGGTTAACAGAACCATCACACCCAGCTGGCACTTCTATTTTATTTTGAAATAGCCATAGCTGTCGTGTCCCCCCCCCCCCATGCAGGTGAGGAGGAAAATTTTTTTTCTGAAGGGATGCGGGTGTCCATCCCTAGCCCCATAAACCCTCCTTCCCCCAATCTGGCATCAATTGTGTAGGACATGGTTTCCCAGTTGCACAGGGTTGCCTGCTGTTCTCACAAACACAAGTCTTCCATGTGAAGCTCACTTTGACTGTAGCTGCAGCATCTTCTTGAGTTGAAGTTTTGAGAGTCGTATGTGCAGCCTTGTCAGTACCATCTACATTGTGTTGTGGAGACAGGAAACCATTTCCCAGTTTGGCTGTGGATGTTAACCTAGGCTTCTGAGTTTCTTGTATGGTTTGGGGGTGTAGAGGGGAGAGATTCAGGGAGGCTCAGCATTGCTTCAAAGCTCCCTAGAACTAGTGTTAGGCCCGACATTCCTGATCTTTATAGCTGGCTCTAAGTGAAACTAAAAATAAGAGCCAATAGTTGTACTTGGAGAAAAAAAATACACAGCACTTTATTTACCACAAATCTATATGAAATAATGCTGAGGCAGATTTAATGTACAGTATGGTATTTTTATTACATGTAGAAAAGAATTCTACATTTGTCCAGACACTGGAGTTATAGAAAGAAGAGTTTTAAAGTCATTGAAAATGGTTCTGACACGTAAAAGGAAATAATCAAATAGGAAATTGCTGTGATTTGATGAAGCTGAGTGAAGTTTAGAAGAAACCATGTTAGTGCTGGGGACTGTTGTGTGTTCAAGTTAATTTTTCAAGAAGAGTTGCCACTGAGGTGCAGAAGTTAATCTTTAATCTGTGTTTTGAGTCCTGGTTGCCATGGTTGTCACTGAGAGTCTGTTGGGCAAGGTTTCAGCACAGATTAAAAGCACCTTGAGAGAACTGATCTGAGGAAATGCCAGCACTGAGTTCCTTTGCTTTGAAGATGATTTTCACCTCAGAGAAGCTTGGAATTGGGAAAATACACAAAGTGATTTTTAGGGAAAAGGTAGACTTAAAGGTTTCCTTATCAGTTAATAAAGTATCTGCATTAGGGTTCTCTATAGAAACAGGACTGATAGAATGAATGTGTATATTAAAAGGAGATTGTTAGCATGGATTAGGCTGTGGTTCGAGTAGCCCAACAGGGACTGTCTTCTGGAAAGAGAAGACTGAATGTCTCAACAGTCCCTCCTGGCTGGTGCTAGAGTTTCAGGGAAGTCCTGGAGAGCTACTAGTAGTCTTTAGTTTAAGTTTGAATCTTGAAGAAGTAAGTTCTAATACCAGCAAAGGAATGCCTTAGCAACAGGTAGATGAACTTGCCAGTGAGACTGAGAGCAAGCAGGCAAAAAGCAAATGCTTCCTTCTTCCATGTCCTTTGACACTGGCTGCCACCAGAAGGCGTGCCTCAGGGTTAGAGCAGGTCTCCCCCACTCAAATGACTCACTCAAGAAAAGCCCTTCATAGTGTGCCCAGTTGAGCTGCTTGGGTTTTACTCGATTCCAGATGTAGTCAAGTTGACAACCAAGGTTAACTATCACAGCATCTCTATTTGCATATATGGAATTCTTGTATATGTAGTCATAATTGGAGTGTATTTGCTGAGCTTTCCAGTCTAATTCATTCTCATTCTCATTCTCATTCTCATTCTCCTCTCTCTCTCTCTCTCTCTCTCTCTCTCTCTCTCTCTCTCTCTCTCTCTCTCTCTCTCTCTCTCTCTCTCTCTCTCTCTCTCTCTCTCTCTCTCTCTCTCTCTCTCTCTCTCTCTCTCTCTCTCTCTCCCCCCCCCTGTGTGGGGGTGTGGGTATGAATGTGGGTGTGGATGGGGGCTAGGGTTAGAGAGATAGTCTAGCAGTTACTAGCATATACTGTTCTTGCAGAGGACCCGAGTTTGGTTTCTGGCCTGCATGTCAGATGGCTCATAACCCCCTGTAACTCCAGCTCAAGGGATCCCATTCTCCTGGCCTCCTCAGACACCAACACAGACATTCTATACATGCTTTTAAAAACAAGAAAACAAATCACTAATTTTAATGTTTATTTTTCTTATGTATATGGGCATTTTGCTTACATGTCTATACCATGTGCATGCCTGGTGCCTGAGGAAGCCAGAAGAGGGCATGAGATCCCCTGGAACTAGAGTTACAGATAGTTGTCAGCCACTATGTGAGTGCTGATATTTGAACCTGGGACCTCCGAAGAGCTCTTAACCATTGAACTATCTCTCTAGTCCTAAGAAAACAAATATTTTAATATAGGGTGTTTAGTATATCTGGGTTCAGAATGTTTCTTAACAGACTTCCATTTGAAATAGCATTCTAAGTGTTGCAGGCCAGTCTGTTCAGTTGCTCCCTTCTCTCGCTTATGTCTTCTGCTGTTTTTAGGGAACTGTAGATTTTTTTTTTTTTTTTTTTGCTTCAAACACATGATCCTCCTGCCTCTGCCTCCTTTAGCAAATTCTACCAGTGTGCACCAACACAACTGGTGGAACTAGAATCTTAAGGAAATCTTTTGAGTTAGTGTTTATAGAAAGAAGAATTTGTAATCATGCAGCTAACTTTTATGTATGTACATAAAATTGTACTCGGTGCAGTGAGTTATACCTGAGTCCATTTGAAGCTTAGAGATATTTGCTTTGACCAAAATTTCCCAGCTAGCCACTTACATATTTGGGGTCCAAAGTTCTTGATTCCAGTCATGCTCTTCCCCAGGGAAACAGTTTTCCTATAACATTCTGTTCCACTTGTGCTGGTGAGAAAAGTGAATGAGCCACTTTTCTAGGATGTCCAGGGAGAAGGGACATATTGGTTGGTCAAGACTGAAGCTATCTGGTGGTGTGTATTACTTCTCTGCTGAGCCTGTGTCGATTGTAAATGGTGTTGGTGCAGCCTTCCTACTCAACACCTATTCTTGCGCCCCAAATGCCATGGTCCTACCCCTTGTCCATACTTAATTGGGATTGCAGTGTCTGCTTGGATGCCTTGGCTGCATTGCCAGGTGGTGTGCATTCTAACTGCTTGCCTTTCCTAGTTGCACAAAGCAGTTCTTGTTTTGTTGTTACTGAATAGTATTTTAGCCATAGATGATATGCCACTGGGACTTAAAGTGCTTTCATCATTGCATAGATCATTATATTTATGTTCTCTTCGAAGCTTAGTGACAACCAAACAGGATCCTAGCTGTTACAGATCAGAATTAGTAGACATCCTTCTCTTTAGTCTTGAACAGCCCTTGCTGAGTAGAAGCCTTTTGTGGGGGAACGTTTTAAACACTTCCAAGGTTATAATTGTGAGCAAAATTGCTTTGTCTTGTATTACAGAGAAAATGCCACGTGTAAAAGCAGCTCAGGCTGGAAGACAGGGTCCTGCAAAGAGGCGCCTTGCAGAGCAGTTTGCCGCTGGGGAGGTCATAACCGACATGTCTAAAAAGGAATGGAAACTAGGATTGCCTATTGGCCAAGGAGGCTTTGGCTGCATATATCTTGGTAAGTGTATGATGGTTTCTAGTCATCAGTGTAAAGACTTGAATTCTTCTTACGAAGTAGTGTCTCATTTAAGTAAGGTGCTGTTCATAATCTGTGTTAAGATTGTGTGGTTGATCATAAATTCATCTCTGACATATAAGTAGATATTTTATTATAGAAAAATTGCTATGATGTCACTGGTAAGCTCAATATCCTTAGAGCCTTAAGATTTCTACAGTCTAATTAAACTCTCTTTGAGACTAAAAGAAAGGTCTACACATCCTTTTTCTTCCAACTCTATGTATAGTTCATTTTATAGATCTTTTCTTTTCTTTTTTTTTTGTTTTTTGTTTTTTGAGACAGGGTTTCTCTATTGTTTTGGAGGCTGTCGGTCCAGCCGGGCCTCGAACTCACAGAGATCCGCCTGCCTCTGCCTCCTGAGTGCTGGGATTAAAGGCGTGCGCCACCACCGCCCAGCAAGTAAATCATTTTTAATGTTGGTAATTCAGTAAACTCAAAGAAGTTCAGAGTTCTAACTTGGTCTCCAACTATCCCAAGATAAGCATGTTAACTAATATAACGAACATAGGTCAAGCCTAATACAAAGTACAAACATTTTAAAACCCACAGCTATAAAGATCTATAAAATTGGCTTTGTGTTGGTGGCGCATGCCTTTAATCCCAGCACTCGGGAGGCAGAGGCAGGCGGATCTCTGTGAGTTCGAGGCCCGGCTGGACCGACAGCCTCCAAAACAATACAGAGAAACAAAAAAAAGATTTACTTGCTGGGTGGTGATGGCTCCCACCTTTAATCCCAGTACTTAGGACGCAGAGGCAGGCAGATCTCTGAGTTTGAGGCCAGGCTGGTCTACAGAGCAAGTTCCAGGACAGCTGGGCTACCCTGCCTTAAACAACAAAAATAACAACAACGGTTTATGTAGCTGGCTGTGGTGGTACAGGCTTTTAATCCTAGCACTGACTGAGGCAGGCAGATCTCTGTGATTACCAGGCTGGCTAAGGCTACATATTGAGACCTTGTACCAAAACAACAGAACAAAATGAAAACCAACCTTGATACCATGTACAACTGTCGATTTCCCCAAGAATACCTGTGAGAATACACTGCAGACCCTGTTTGCTTTGGGCATTTCTCTGTCTTTGCATTTTGTGGTTTTGCCCTACTATATTTTTTCTTTTCTTTCTTTCTTTTTCTTTTTTTTCTTTTTTCTTTTTTGGTAAATATTGGTTTTTTAATGCTTCATACAGTTGAGGAAGGCCTTGACTAGAGGCCTGCTATTTCTACCTCTAGTCTTGATTTAGTTAGTTAACTAGTTACTTCTTTTCTTTTTTTTTTTTGTTATTTTCTTAATGATGTTTACTTTTTTCTTTTTTTTTGAGGTATGGTCTCACTATGTGCTTGTGAGGCTCAAACTGGCCTTGGATTCACAGAGATCCTCCTGCCTCTGTGTCCTAAGTGTTGGAATAAACACATATGCCGTTATGTCTGGCACAGCTTTTTAAAAATTGTTTATTTCTGGCACAGGCTAGAAGGGGTTGGAGTTACAGATGATTGTGAGCTACCATGTGGATGGTAGGAATTGAGCTCCAGTCCTCTGGAGTACCAACCAGGCCTTGTAACCATCACTCGCTCTGAAAGTTTCAAAGTTTATGTTTAGTAGTTTACATAAAATGAAATGTATGGATATTAAAAACAAATCACAGCTGTAAAGATCTTTAAAATGAAACTAACTTTTTTTCTTTCAAGTAATTACTATAAAATGAAAACTTAATTGTTTTCCCTTTCAAGCAACATCAGACTGGGAATGTTCATATTACAGTTAAGGTTAACATCATCTGGAAGCTTGTTAGAATTGCCATTTGTGTACCCTACCCTACCCTACCCTACCCTACCCTACCCTACCCTACCCTACCCTACCCTACCCTACCCTACCGTACCCTACCCTACCCTACCTTACCCTACCCATGATTCAGAAACCATGGGGAAGGCCTGCAGTGCTGTTTGAACAAGCTCTTTAGGTGACTGGGTGCATCCTGGGGTTTGAGAGCCCTAAAAGAAGAGCAGCCGTTTCCACTGAGTTAACCCTGCTTCACTTCCAAGCCTGGGAGCTCTGCTCTGCACTTATGCTCCTGAAACACAGCTTCCAGACGGCGCTTTGCACAGTATCTTGTACACGAGCCTCCTGTTAGAGAAAGTATTTGCCTTTGGAAAAGTACATGTTGCTTCTCTGGTTTTGTTTAGAACCAGAGCTGTCCTGATGAAGTAGGCTATATTTATATACAGTGAAAGTCTTTATAAACTATGAAAAAGTAGTTGTACATGAAGTGTTCACATTGTTGTGATAAAGTAACCCATGGGGGATGGGGGCGGCAACAGACACTGTCATTGTGGTTCCTGAGTTTAGAGAGTTCAGTTCATGCTGTTTGGCCCCATGCCCTGCCTATGTGTTTGGACAGTGTGTCATGATGGCAGGAACATGTGACAGGAGAGTCACGTCTGGTGTGCAGGAAGTAGAGGAAGGCTCCAGGGCAAGATGATCCTGCTGGCTTCCACCACTCAGTGATTTTCTCCAGCTATGTCCTACCTCCTAAAGTTTCTAGAACTTACCCCAACAGTACCATCAGTTGCGTATGCTGCATCTTTTTATGGGGCATTTTGTCTTCATCCCATTATGTTAGTCATACCAGCGGAATGTGTGTTTTAAGCTTGTGATTTAGAGGAGGTGCTGTGGTCACTGCAGGACTTAGTTAGTTAACTGGAACTTGTTACTAAGTAGGTTGTTCATTTTATCTCCCTAAAGTCTGTGTTTGAGCCACCATGCTACCCTCTGCTCAATTATTGCAAAGAATTTTTTTTATTTCAGTGTCCTTGCTTTTGTGATCTTTTGCTAATTTGGAATTTGCTTCTGTGTGTGTGCTGGATGTTTTATTTCTACCATTAGAAGGTGTCATCGACTAGTAAGTATTTTTAATACCCGATGAACCATCTGTGAGGTAGGACTTTGCTCTCTGTGTGGAGGAGGATTTGCTGTGTGCACTAACACTGAAGCTGCCCTGCCTCATCAGCAGCAGTTGAGTGTAATGTCTGAATCTCTCTCCATTTTGATTTTACTTAGTGCTTGTTGCTTTTCTTTTCCATAGCTGAGTTTTGGACAGAGCATGTGCATGCTTATTCCCTTTATTTTCTTTCATGACACTTTCCATACTTGAATACTTTTCTCAGTTCCTGGGTAAACATGTACTTTTTGACAAGGCGTAGCTTTCTTCTTTGTGTCTGGCATAGTGTGTGAATGTGTCGTGGAGAAGTCATTGCGTTTCCTTTCCCTCTTCCTATTTGAGTGTGCAGTATTACTGGATGCTATCTTCACTTTCATGTTTTGTTAAAGATTCTGAACTGCCTTATTACTAATTCAGTATCTAAGTGCTGCTCCCTGGGGCTCTTCCTAGGGAGCTCAGAGCTCCTCCTTCGCTGATTGAGTGTCTCTAGAAACTTGTCCTGTGTCTGAAGTGCTTGGCAGCAACCCTTCTTTGGTTTCCATTGCCTGTTCTCTCAGTCTGCCTGTCTTCTGTTCCGAGGTGGGGGTGTCTTTGGGATTGGTCTTAGCATTTCTTTCTTCTCTATCGGTTGTTCCTGAGGAGATTTCTTCCAGTCTTATCATTTAAACTGTTCTGGAGACTGAACCTAGACTTCACCTGTGCAGAGCATTCATGTGCTATTTCATTGAACTGGATCCTCAGCCTGATAGGTAGCATTTTCAGCTATCACTTACAAGTTTGAGACTTGGGTATGCAGTGATGGTTAGGATCTGCATCAGCAGCCTTGTGTTGCTATGGCCAGACACCCTAAGGGGGAGGATTGACTTTGGCTCACAGACATTGAACCTAGAGCTGTGACTCATATACATGAGGGACCTGGTAGTGGCAGGAGTGTCTGGCAGAAGAGCTATCACGGTACAGCAGACCAGGCTGCAAAGAGTGTGGGTCAGAACTAGGGGTGAATATTTTAGATTAAAACCATAATAACATCTGAACTTGGGTGTTTAGCAAGTATTTCATGATACCCCAAAGCACTCTGTCTTGTATTTCTCCATTTGCAGCTTTTGTGCAGTTTTCTGCCCAAACCCACAAGCGCCTCATTCTCTACATCCAGTCCATCGAGGTCCTGTTAGCTGCCCTTTGAGTCTGTGCTCACAGCCTGATAGCACTACCTTGGTGTACCCAAGCAGCTGTTGACCACACTCTGCCCCATTAGTTATACTAGCTAGATCCCTTCCCTGCTCTGCCTGCATCTGTTCTTGACCTGTACACAGTTCTTCCAAGCAGTCCCATCAGAATTAGCTCATGCCAGTAGTCCTTTTGACAAAACCTTGGAGGTTTCCTGTCTCACTTATAGCAGCAGTCCTAGCCTTGATGTTGACTGTAAAGCCCTTCATGTTTATTCCCTGCTGCTTTTCTAATGGGTCTTGTTTCCGTATCATGTTTTTCTCTGTGCATTGGTCTCCTGGCTTTGCAAATGCATGTAACGCTCGTATACTGGGGCCTGGTGTTAGTCCACATGGAATGCTGTTCCTGTGAATTCCCATGGCTTAAACTGTTTCGTGGTTTCAGTGATACCCCAGGTTCCTCCTCCTCCTCTTTTTTTTTTTTTAATGTGCCTCTCTTCTTTTTAATTTAAATTAGAAACAAGCTTGCTTCACATGTCAATCCCAGCTCCCTCTCCCTCCCCTCCTCCCCTGTCCCACCAGTCACCCAATCTCCACCCCATTCTCCAGGGAGGGTGAGGCTCTCCATGGGGGATCTCCAGAGTCTGTCATTTCCTTCTGGACAGGGCCTAGGCCCTCCCCCAAGAGTCTAGGCTGAGAGAGCATCCCTCATTGTGGGATGGGCACCCAAAGACCATTTGTATACCAGGGGTAAATACTGATCTACTCAAGGCTGAATAGATTGCCTAACCTCTTCACTAACACCCACATTCAGGGGGTCTGGATCAGTCTGATGCTGGCCTCCCAGCCATCAGTTTGGGATCCAAGAGCTCCCCCTTGTTTAGGTCAGCTGTTTCTGTGGGTTAAACCAGCCCAGTCTTGACCCCTTGCTCATCACTCCTCCCTCTCTGTCACTGGATTCCAGGAGTTCAGTTGAGTGTTTAGCTGTGGGTGTCTGCCTCTGCTTCCATCAGTCACTGGATGAAGGTTCTGTTTCCCAGACTCTCTGGCAGTGAGATTGTATGCTGGCACTCCCCTGATCCATGTCTAAAATCCATATATGAGTGAGTACGTACCATGTTTCTCTCTTTGTGACTGGGTTACCTCACTGAGGATGGTTTCTTCTAGTGCTGTCCATTTGCCCCAGGCTCTTCTTAACACTGCCTACCTCCCTCACTGTTTAAATTTTCCCACCATTACTCCTATCACATCAAACATACTTTTTATTTTATGTGATGTCTATATTTTACTGCTCAAATGGCAGCCACAAGTTTGTTTTTGTTTTTTGTTTTTCCCCTGTCCACTGAGACAGGGTTTCTCTGTGTAGCTCTGTGTAGCACTCACTGTGTAGATCATGCTGGCCTCCAATTTACAGAGATCCACCTGCCTCTGTTTCCTGAGTGCTGGGATTAAAGGCTACAACTGCCCCAGCTTCAAATTTCCGTTTCTTAGAAAATGGCCTACTGTGGGTACTTGTTGATGAGTTTGGGAAGACTTCCTGTTCTGCATGACAGTGCCTCAGGTGTTGCTCTGCACTAACCAGTATCTGGGTCAGCTTCTGTGCTTCTGGCTATCCTTTCCTAAAGGGCTTTATGGCTTGTTGGACCCTGGGATTTCACTAGTCCCCATCCTCCAGGAATTCATAGTACATCAGCTTCTGAATGAAAGAAATAGTCTTTGTACAACAACTCTTCCTGTAACAGCTGATCAAGTAGAAGAAACCAAAACATTACTAGATGTATTCCACACATGAAGAAAGTCTTAGACCAGGTGCAGGGCTGTAATGATGCCCCGAAAGAACTGGGCTTCACCCTGTAGAGGACTGCAGGGCTGTAGGCCCAAGTGTCTGTCAGATGCTGTCTATGATAACACTGCTTGTTCTGATGTGACTGTCTCACTCTTTAAACAGCGGACACAAATTCTTCCAAACCGGTTGGCAGTGATGCACCCTGTGTTGTGAAAGTGGTAAGAAAATACTGCTCATTTTTCTCTTTTGTCATGTAAGTTGGTATTTATTTTGTAAAGCATCTTTTTTGATGATTAGATTTAGTTAAACCATAAGGTATTGCATTGCTCATCATTTTCATAAGTATTTAATGAGGCACGTAAGTAGCTTTATAGTTTTAAGTAACTTGAACTCAGTCTTCAGCTCCTGTGAACAGAGTGGCACAATTTGAGGCTCTCTGGGAAACCACAGGGGTCTGCCGGGATGGGACTATTGGTTTTAGCTGTTTCCACTAGGCAGGTGTGATTCATATTTATATCCTGGAACATCGTGCTAGGCTGATTTGTATTTTGCATTTTGTTCTGGATGTTTGTTTATCAGTTGGTCCGTCTGTCCATCTATCTGTTTATTTATTTTGCCTGCTGTCAGTTTTATTCACCTCCCTGTTCGTATTACGAGGTTGTGATTCTCTCCGCTGTGGCTATAGTCTTCGTTGCTGTAGTCATGGTGCACGTTAGTTCCTGATGTGCAGGGATTGGCAGCACCCCATTGGACAGAAGAAGCACACTGAGTAACGAGGCCAGTTACAGACTGGAGAACTAAGGCATCTTCATATTTAATCTCTATTTGTTTTTTTTCTGCACTGTTTTACTCAGCAGTGTTTGTAGCTCTGCACACCCTATATTTGATCAGTGTGTAGACCCTTGTTAAATAGAGGAGCCAGCAGAGTGGGTTGGCAGAGAGGTTAGTGCTGGTCCCCTGTCCTCTTTGGTTTTCTAAAGGTTGTAGAACCTGGGAGTTAGAAGTGCCTCAGAATTTGTCGGTTCACTTTATTGTTTTCAAATAGAAATCTATTTTTCCCCTGGGAGCCAAGTATCTTAGGCCGGGATTGAGTTTGTTTTTTCCTTTTCTCTCTAACTTATTTATTTGATGTGTGTTTCCATGCATCTATGTCTGTGCACCATGTGCATGCCTGGTGCCCTGCAGGCCGAAGAGGGCATTGAATCCTCTGAAGCTGGAGTTATAGATGGTTGTGAGCTATCACTAGCCCTTGTTTTGTGAGCTTTTTAAAAGCATGTACTAAGAAGTGTAATTTTTCAGTAAAATGCATAGCTAATGAATCAGTATTTGACGTGTCAGTGCGTCACTCTTGCCCTTTGTGGCCACTCTCCCTGTCTCTGCAGCCTCTGGAGAGCGCTGTCCTGTGTTTGAGCCTGCCCTCTTCTCAACTACTGCCTGTCTAGAGCAATAGGTGTGTGTTCAGCATGGTATTTTAAAGGGTCACCAGTATTTTTAGTGTATCAGTCACTTACTGCATTTTATTGTCATGTTGAAAGCATTTGGGGTTGTTTACAGTTTGGGCAACTGTGAACAGACCTTCCATGTACATTGTTGGAGTGGTATTTTGATGGGATAGGCTGGTTTCTCATGGAATTCAAATCACTTCTCTATAGGGAGGATACACATTTCACTTAAAAAAAAATTCTGGATGTATTTTTGAAGTGGCTTTCTGGTTTCACATTGCCAGTGGTTGCTGTCGGCTCTGCCTGGTCTAGTGCTTGCCTGTAGTAGGTGTGAGCTTGCGTACTCCGCAGCCTTTATGGGAGGCAGGTGCTGTGTCTTGCTGCAACCTTAGTTTGCATTTATTTCACAAGCACCGTTGAATCCCCTTTTCTTGTGAATATCTAACAGTCGTGTGGTTTTGTGTGATAAGTGCTTCTTCGGTCTCTTGCTTCTTTTCTCTTTAAGAAAATTATTTTTAATAACTGGGTTGTTGTGTTGCTTTTTATAGTTGAGTAGGACAAGTTATTCTGGATAAATCATATTTTCAGATATGTGTGTTATGACTATTTCCTTCTAGTTTATAGGTTACTCGTTTATTTTTAAATGCTTTTATATATCTTTTTAGCTGGCTCGTTAGAGTTTTTGCCTTTATTTGGTTAATATGGCTTCTGATACTGAACTAACCCTGTAGCACACACCCCAGTTAGGCAGGCTGCGGCAGGCTCCTTATGTAGTTCTGGGACTGCGTTGGTCAGGCCTTTTGTGTCTTTATTCATAAGGTGTCATGGTCTTTAATTTTTCTAGAAGTGTTTTTGTGTTAGGCTCTTGGAGTCTGACTGGCTTTGGTGTCTCCAGCACTGGCATATGATCCCAGTGACTGCACTGGCTCCTTACCCCAGGACCTCTGGGAATACCCTTCATGTCTCATCTAGAGTGCAGCAGGCCTTGAGCACCTTTGTGGAGCTTGTGGAATGAGTGCTTCCAAGCCTTTATTTATAGTGGGAAGCCTGACTCAGCCTGTGCCCTTCCCAAGTGGCACATTGAGTTAGTGCCTATCTGTGTCTCCTGCCCTTCCAGTTTGGAGCTCTCTTTCTCATTGTGGAATGGCATTCCTTTTGAATCACTGGGTTTGCTGCCAAGCAGAGGAACTAGAGTTCTTAGAGTAACACTTGTCATGTACATGGAGTTGTGGGAAGTCATCTGTACCTGTCTTGTGTACACCTGGAAGCATGACACCTGTAGGCTAAGATGATTTTCTGAGTGTCTTCAAAGGATTCCTTTGAGAAACAAGTGAGCTTCCTATGATGGTCCAGGCTTTCAGACCCCTCTGCAGCTGGCTCATTTGCATACTGGTCTAAGTGACTGGATTTGTTTTGTTCTGTATAAGCTCAACTTCTAGCAGGTGATGCTATATTAGAATTGTGATTTTTATTGTAAGTGGAATGAACTTCACCTTTCTGCCTTTTTGACTTAATCTAGCTGAGGGGAGATGGGTAGGATAGGAATTTCCAGTTATTTAATCAGAACACATTGAATTTCTAAGTTTTAAGGATGTCTGTTTTCAGATTTTGCCTAATATTCCATATGTTCTGTTGTCCTTTGTTCTTTGTAAAGAGATGGTAACTGGTGCTTGATTTCCTGTGGTTCATATTTTAGTAGCTCTTCCAGTGTTGTGGTTTGTGGTCCTGGAAGAACAGCTGCCCAGCTCTCAGAGGGGGCACTTCAGCCACAGCTGGTTGCTGCTCCCTTGATGACTGACGTCTTTGGGTTCTTTAAATTCCTGTGTCAATCACTGTATTGTCATTTATTACACAATTTCACTTCTAATATCCTTCTCAAGATGCCAGTTAAATTTCTCTAAAATCTAAGAAGATTTTAAGTTACTTGATAATGACCCTGTTTTAAATATCCTTTACTTATGAAGTTCTTACATGCTTGTTTTATTTATTTATTTTAAAAATATTTTTAAGGTATAATTTTGTGTGCCCTTTTGCCTGCTTTTCTATTCATTTACTTTTATCGTTTTGATGCCATTCACTTTTCTCAATTGGGAATAGGCTGGGTCGTCATTTCCCTTCTTACAGCTTTGTAGCCCTCAAAGTGGAAGCAGACATCAAATACAAACATGTAGGATTAGTAGACCTCTCTCACATTAAAATCAGAACAGTTGCCGTTCAAACATAAACATGAGGGTTGTGACAGGTGCTTGTGTGTGTGGTGCTGGAGATGGGTGCAAAGCCTGCTGGCTGCTGGGGAAGTTTCTGTGACTGCTGCAACACTAGCAAGGATTGTGCTTTCAGAGAACATAGATGACTGACTGGGCATGATACCAGAACAGCGAGATGTGAAGCTTAGTACATCCGGGTTCTTTATAGAATGGCTCTATGAAGAAGTACCACAGTACTTGTGCATTGTAAAAATGAGCATGCCTTTATTTTTGGAGCAAAAATGGGCACATTATTTAAGAAATACAGCTAAGTTGGTTTTTACTGTAAAGTTATGTAATCACATTCCAAGCAGCGCTTTCCAGGCCTTGTACGTTGTCATGAGACTGCACAGGGCCTGGTCATTGGTGTCAGGTGCTCCTCTGTATCCAGGTAGAGACCCAGAGTAGAACTTGCTACATTGCACACTGTACTCATGTCCAATGGGACTACGTCTGCAGACCTGCTCCTTCACTCAGATCCTTTCCCATGTTTCTGCTCTGAGTCTCCACTTCGAAAACTTGGTTACTTCTGACATGCCTGCTTTGTGAATGAGCTCTAACAGCTAGCTACACACTGCTCCTGCATTTGGCATTTGTGTGAACATAAGATGCACATACAAGTTAGGTGTCTTAGCATGTCCTACACAGGCCTTCCTGCCCAGGGGTGCTCTTTGTTTCTCTTTAGGGCCTTCTTCATCCGTGACTGATGCAAGCAGCTGTAGGATAGTGCTTCTGTGTCACCAGAACAGTTAGCTATGTTTGCTTTAAGAGGCTCTGTGTGTGCGCGCGCCCACGTGCATACATGCCTGTATGAAATTAGATGGTTAGGAAGAAGTAGTAAATAAGTAAATTGAATAATACAAGTAGAATTTTTTCTGATTCCTGCCTCCTCCCCCAGTAAACCTAAGGCTCAGTAAGGAACTAGTTCTTTGAGTCATTCTCACCTTTATGGGAGCAGAGTTGGAAGCCTGAAGATAGTCTTCCAGTTTGTGCCGCCTAAGAGCTGGTGCATGGTGGTCCTTCTTGGAGAACTGGGGTCTTTATCTCACAGCCACCTGGGAAGGACTTTGCCTGATGTTGTGATGAGTGTTCTGAATTTCCAATTCAGATATCTTAATTTTTTTGGTAAGAAGGAGAAACTTTGTACAGCTTCATTTTTAAATGGCAGCCAGTTGCTTTTGGATGGTGCCATTGAAATATATCACATTTTAACTTTTTTTCCTGTTGTCATCGTCATTTTGACACTTAGAAGTCTTAGGGAAACGTTTAGTGATATTCTAGTTAAAATGTCAGTCCCAATTTCTTTTCTAAATCTTGGCTATTACAGAGTTGGCAAAGTATTTTAGATTTGAAATATGTTAATACAATTTTAGTTCTGAGATAAGGTATTTTCTCCACAGATAGCTTGCTTCAGCTGGAGCACAGTGCCAAGAAGTAGTTCCTTTACTTTGTCATAATGGAAGTCTATTGGATAGCTAATGTATGAAAGTGCTCAGAAAGCCTGCATTATAGTGTCCTGATTTATACGGTTGATTCACATTATAAGTTTCATAAATTATTGCTCGAAGGAAACTTGAAAATTAAAGTTGATATGATGTAGGTTGAAACTGAATAAATCAAAAATCTTATACTGTTGGTAATAAGCCAGGAGTAGTCTTGGGAAAGCATCCTTTATGCCTGAGTTTTATTAATGAGTCATCCTGAAAGTTAACCAAAATTCCTTCTCTTTAATTTTACTTTCTTCATTTTTTACACTTACTCTGTGACGTGTACAGTCATTGGCTTAAAACGTTTGCTCAGGTTTCTGGCTCCTGTTGCTGCTAGGAAATGGCCACAGGTATGGGAGAGTTTCTTGCTTAACACCAGTCAGGGTCTTGACATTCAGACTTGAGTATACGGACCTCATCCTGGGTCAGGGCTTGGTGACCTGCTCTTCTGAGGCAAGTGTGGGAAACTCTTTAGGTTCTTTCTGACCGACTGCTGCCATTAGTGGCTTCCTTGCTCTCTGTGGCTAGGTACTGCTTGATTGCAGATGAGCAGGGTCCTGTAAGCATGCTACCTGGAGACTTGTGAGCTGACAGAACTGTCTATGTAATAAAGACTTTTATTGACATCTCAAGGACCAAAATTAACTTGTGTAGTAATTGAGGGTTTCCTCAATGAAGAAAAAGTGGCTGTACTTGCTTTCAGTGTTTGGAGCAGATGTCTCTGAGGTGGGGAAGAGCACACTGACATGCTGAAGCTCACTCAGGTCTTTGCCAGTTGTAATGAGCTCTGAACCTTAACTCCAGCTGTGCAGGGTTTCTGTCCAAAATACTTTGCTCAGATAGCTTGGAGATGCTTGCTTTCATATTTGAAGTTGTCATTCCTTTAAAATCAGTATAAAATATCAAACATTAAGTAAATACTACTTTATATCAATCAGCCAGACAAAGCTCGCCATTTAAAAAGTCATCAAAATTATAAGCTATTTCTTACCCATATTTAAACAACATGAAACTCATTATGGGCTGTTATCTCTTGTTGTGTAAAATATCTTTTTGTAAATGTTTGTCTCTTTACTAATAGTTCAAATGGTTAATATCCCTTGAAATAGGAAATAGATCTGTCTAGTAAAATTGGGGAAAACAATTATTTAGTTCAGTTTCTTTTTGATTTTAAAAACGTTTTAGGTTTCTTTGGTTTGAAAAATGTAGGAACCAGTGTCAGAAAGAAAGGGCACAGTGCTGTCTTGCTCTGGAGATGCAGATGCATTCCTGCCAGTTCTGAGAGCTGGGGAGAACCGTGCTAGGGTGAAGGAAAGGAATGGGATTCTACGTTAATCGGTTAAGTAAGGTATTGGGATTTCATTAAATCGCAGAAATGTCTTGTAGTCCCTTGGTGGTGATACAGTTAGCATGGTCGCTGGCCTTTGCTTAATAAAGATGAAAATTAGTTTAAACATTTGTTTTAAACTTCTGTAAAGACTGAACTATATATTTCTGATTGTGTATAATTTATCACTTATGAAAGTTGAGCTTAAGAGAAAGATTATTGTGAGAACATGTAAAATATTTCTAAGGAGTTGAAGCTAATCTTTTAGTAGTATAAATTTAAACATCAAAGTTACATTGTGTTGTAGGAAAAATTAGACATACTCTGTCTTTGAAGGCATGGTGAAAATAATTCAATAATTTTAATTGACTCTTGTGTTCTAAGGAACCCAGTGACAATGGACCTCTTTTCACTGAATTAAAGTTCTACCAGCGGGCTGCTAAACCAGAGCAAAGTAAGAAACAATAAACATGTTTAAAATTGTTTTGTTTAAAGGTTTAAACATTTTAAAATAAGCGGTTTACCTGGCTTTATTTCACCTAAGCTGAGGTTAAAGTGTCACACAATATGGCTGTTTTCATTTGCTTTATATACAAATCCCATTTACATGAAGTCATTCTGTAGATTGATGCATTTGCTGTATGATTTGTAGCATGTGAAATAATCAGTGGTATGTGGCCTAGGAAGTATATGGATTGCCCTAATTAACAAGCGTGAGTGCGCAGTCTCTGTCTTAACTCATGCCTGGAGTGCTTGAGGTGGGGCGGGCCCTGGGGTTGCTGAGCCCCAGGGCAGTGAGTGGAGCCTCCAGGCTGCTCTCATCTGTTTCACCTGAGTCCCCAGCCCCTTACAGTAAGGAGCACGAGTGGCACTTCCGTGTCTCCTACATCTTGATTTGCAAGGTGAGCAGGAGATGAAAACATTGAAGGAGACAACCCCTTGTTTCTAGAGTTTGGGGTGAGTCGGTCTTCCTGTGGAAGCAAACAAACCTTGGTATTAGGCAGTGACTAAAGAGGCAATGCTGTTGCTTTGCGCTTCAGAAATGGCTTCACAGGTGGACAGTTTCAAGACAAGGTAACGACGGGCACTGACTGTGTTTGCAGGCTGGTAAAATTTTTATTACACTTCATGTTACACTGGGCTCTTTTTCATCCTGTTATGAGTAGAGGTGGTTTTGTTGCACATAGAAGTATGCTCTACTCTTAGTAATTTGTTTTGAAGTGACCATTTAAAGTACAGCAGTTGAAATCACAGACCTCTCTTTCAATTCTAGTTCAGAAATGGATTCATACACATAAATTGAAGTACCTTGGTGTTCCTAAGTATTGGGGATCTGGTCTACATGATAAAAATGGAAAAAGGTAAAAATCTATATTTTGAGCATTTCCTATTGAGTTGGTTTAGTTGGGAGTTATTTGCTGAGCACCCACAATAACTCTAGGAGTGCATCTGGGCTGGGGGCAGCAGAGGGGAGAACAAGATCTTATCTCTGCTCCCGTTATACACTGTGTAATGTAGTGTGGGATGTCTGACTTGTGGACTTCTGGGGAGCAGTGTCAGTTGACTAAAACCCATTGACAGGAGCAAAGCCAAAAGAGAGCACCCCGCCCCTCCCATTCTTTATGCAAAAGAGCCCTCAGGATCCCATTTGACTTCTCATGTTAAATGCCTAATCATGCATGGAAACTAGAGTCTTGTTCTTTATGAGGGCTTCAGAGTAGCTGACTAGAGGTGACAAACACTTGTGAAATGTGGGAGAAAAGCTAGGTGCTGACTTGTGCAACCTTTTCCTCTTAGAGGTCTTAGGAGTTGGAGTTGGAGGGAACCCCTGATGCTTTTGTGCAGTCTGCCCTTTTCAAGGCTCATAGGAGATTGTGCAGGCCAGGCCTCGTTAGGATCTGAAGACCTGTTGGTTAGAATGGTGTTTGTAGGAAGTGAAGAACAGCTGTGATGCAGTCACCAAAGGCCTGATGCCATGCCTTGCACTTTTTTGAGCTGGGGTCTTGCTTTCTAGATTTAGCTTCAACTCACTGCAGAGCCCAGACCGGCAATGACCTTTCAGTCCTCTGGCTTGATCCTCCTCAGTGCTGGGATTGTGGGTACATTTTTGCTTGTCTTGCACAGTTACCTTCGTTGTGGCTTTGTTCTCTGTTAGTGTTCCTTCGTGTTATTGGGAAGGCTGCTCCATTTCTGGACCTCACATGCAGACTCAGTGTCAGTGTCTTGTGAGTTTCCCTTTACTATCAAGGAACCTTTCTTGGAGTCCTGTGAGACTTCCTTGTACATTTTCTTTCTTTTTTTGGTTTTATGAGACAGGGTTTTGGAGGCTGTCAGACCAGCCTGGCCTCGAACTCACAGAGATCCGCCTGCCTCTGCCTCCCGAGTGCTGGGATTAAAGGCGTGCGCCACCACCGCCCGGCTCCTTGTACATTTTCTTGGTCACAGTTTTATAATTTTTTCTTTCTTTTCCGAGACAGGGTTTTTCTGTGGCTTTGGAGGCTGTCCTGGAACTAGCTCTTGTAGACCAGGCTGGTCTCGAACTCACAGAGATCCGCCTGCCTCTGCCTCCCGAGTGCTGGGATTAAAGGTGTGCGTCACCACTGCCCTGCCCAGTTTTATAATTCTTATGCTTAAATCTGCTATTGGTAGTCACACAGGTTGCACAAGTTTCTTGGTGAAAGACACTTGTTACACGGAATGGGAGGGAATGCCCAAGTCAAATTGGTGCTGTGTTAGCAAAGACTTGACAATGAGGCAGCCATGGTGTAAGCCCGCCAATTTTATTTACTAGAGAACCATGCGGAGAACCATGTGTCCCTGGGTTGTCTGGGGCTCCCTGGAATCTAGTGCCATTATGTTACATTTGCTTTTACTTGAAACAGTGCTGTGAGCTGACCAGAGCCAGAGAGGTAGGGTAGAAGGTTGGCTGTGTTCAAAGGTACCTGGCAGGAGTTTCCGAGAAGTCAGAGTGGTGACTACAGCTGAACAAATCTCCAGCCTGTGTCTCAGTTCACTGTTAGTGATGACCATTCCCTCTTGAAACTGAGGTTGCTAGACCTTCCTCAGCGGAACACGAGACTCAGGCTGGTTATGGATGAAGCACTGAAAATAATTGTGCAAGTCTTTCAGAGGTAACGAGATAGAAGACAGGGTTCTTGTTCCGGCCCCCCCCCCCCCATCCTTATTTCCTTTAGCATGTCTGGGGGTGAGGAGGAGTGATTAGGACAGTATGAGGATTGTAAATACTTGTGTTGCCATTTGGGAATTGTTTGTTCTGATTGATATTTTCTCATTACTTGAAGCATTTAACCAAGTCTCTGCAAAAGACAGTACCAGAGGCCTTACCTGATATGTTTAACAGTAACTTTCTCTCTCTCTCTCTCTCTCTCTCTCTCTCTCTCTCTCTCTCTCTCTCTCTCTCTCTCTCTCTCTCTCTCTCTCTCTCTCTCTCTCTCTCTCTCTCTCTGTGTGTGTGTGTGTCATCTGTTTTTAATTTAGGAATGGTGACATTTTAGGGGCTGTTCAGAGTTAGTGGCAGGGTGATTTGTCTATAAAAAAAAGACCTGATTAATCTGCTTTAGTAGTGGACCCGGTATTGAATCAGACAGTGTTTGCCCTCCTCCAGACTCTGCTGAATAGTTTTGCATCAACTTGACATGAGCTAGAGTTCTTTGAAAGGTGGGAACCTTGATAGAGAAAATGCCTCCATAAGATCCGGCTGTAGGGCATTTTCCTTATTAGTGATTGATGGGTGAGGATCCAGCCCATTGTGGGTGGTGCCATCCCTGGGCTGTTGGTCCTGAGTTTTATAAGAATAAGAAAGCAGGCTAAGTAAGCCATGTGGAGTAGTCTAGTAAGAAGCACTTCTCCATAGCCTCTGCATTGGCTCCTGCCTCCAGGTTCCTGACCTGTTTGAGTTCCTGACCTGGCTTCCTTTGATAATGAACAATGATACGGAAGTTAAGGTAATCCTTTCCTCCCCAAGGTGCTTTGGTCATGGTGTTTCATCACAACAGTAGTGCCCCTAAGATACAGACTGTTGGCAAAGGTTACACTTGGTTATTCAGAGTATTGTAGTGATCACTCTTTGGTAAAAGGCAAGCGTTTATATCCTGCTCTTTTCTCTCAGCTTTGCAAAACCTGCCATACTTGGGATATTGGGAAGTCACATGACTGTTTTCTATTATGTTAGCAGTCAGGGTAGCATAAATCTTAACAGAAATGGATTTATTTTGCCCCTGTTGGATAGTATGACTTTGGCATAAACTTTACCTCCTAAAACATTACTATCTAGGTCTGTAGACAGAGTCTCCAATTCTCTTGTGATTCAGAAAAGGGTAGGACTCTATATTTTATATTATTACATGGTCTTCCCTTGTAACTCACTCTATTTGTCATAAAAGCCTGCATTATGTAAGTGTGACTATTGTGTTGTACAGTATTTGTTATTTTAATTGTGTGTGGAGACAGTGGTTCAAATGATAGGCCCACCTCATTTCGGGGAGGTTGCTAACAGTTTTCTTCTGTAAGATAGGTTGTTAGAGCACCTGCCTAGTGAGTGCCCTGGGTGAGGTACACCAGCGGACTTCTGACTTCCGTGGCTCTGAGCTCATCCCACGGGAGGAGTTTTGTCTTGTCTGTTTTGACGATTTAAATAGACACGTTAGATTTTGGACAGCTGTTGGAGGTGAGAGTGACGTTTAGAGGAGTTGGGTAGTGTCGTCACAGGTCTCTAGTGTTTCTCCATGTGCAGTCTTAGAGTTTGAATCCCTCGGGAGGATGAGACCTGCCTCCTCACTTCACTTCTCCAGAAGTTATGGCCTAAGGAAGTAATATTACATGGTCAAGGTGACAAGGCAGGTGGATGATAAAACCAAAATTTGTCATTTCTGCCAGATATTTCTTTTCCATATCTCGATCATTGAGTGTTTAATACATAATCTAATCGCTTTATATGATTTGGACAATTTTACTGAATGTAGTCTTTAAGCTATCTCTTGACAACCTAGATTTAACAACATTTATTGTTGAAATGTGCCTTAAAAATGGAGACACAGTTATTGGTGGATGCTACTGTCTAGAAACAGCACAGTTAACTTCAAGAGACGCGTTAGATTTTGGACAGCTGTTCAAGAGAAGAATCAGTACTTTCACTCAAAGCCGAGTGGGTGTGTTTTACTCTAGATGAGTCTGCTCGAGTCTGTGTAGGCATTGTCTTAAGTTGAACGTTGTCTCCTGTCAAATTAGCTGGAGCCAGGAAGAGGCTCTGGAGACAGGACAGTACAATATTCCGAATTCTTGAGATTTCTATCTAGTTGGGAGAAATTCTTCATGGTGTATATTCATGCCCCTTTCACCCTCTTTTATAATACTGCCTCATTAAGCATTAACTTGATATAATCTGAAGGGAGAATATTCATTGCAAGTACATGTTCCCAGTTATTTCCCTCACTGACTTTTCTTGTTTGTCTTCAGTTACAGGTTTATGATAATGGACCGCTTTGGGAGTGACCTTCAGAAAATATATGAAGCAAATGCCAAAAGATTTTCTCGGAAAACTGTCTTGCAGCTAAGCTTAAGAATTGTATGTGAGCTATGCTCCTTGTTGTGAATACAGTAAGGGCTGGTTTCTGTTGCAGCTCAGTCCTCTGCTGGCTGTGTTAGGTACTGCATTAATTTACTGTATGTATTCTCCATAGCTGGATATCCTGGAATACATCCATGAGCATGAGTATGTGCATGGGGACATCAAGGCCTCCAACCTTCTTCTGAGCTACAAGAACCCTGACCAGGTCCTTACAACTTCAGTTTTTACTGTTGTAAAACATTCTGTGTGAGTGAGAAAGGTACTCTGGACTGAACCCCCCGCAGCTCTCTTGTTTAGAAGTAAATAGGCTAACAGTACTATTTCTTCAGACGCGTTTATATAGTTGCCATTCTGCACTTTCGTTGCAGTTTTCTGGCACTTTATCAGGTTGACTGAATTGCCCTAAATAATATTCAGAAGTGCTTGATACAAAATGAATTTCAAATAGCTAGTTGGGGTGGGAGCTTAAAATTATATAGTGCACTAGTGAATTAGATTTGTCTGTCTGCTCTGTCACCTTTTTTTATTTCTGTCACCCTTTTTATTTCCTTTGTTCAAGAAATCCTTCAGATGTAGTGTCTGTCACTTGGAAAGTTTGGTCTTTAATGTGGATTGTCAAGCCATTTGGTGCAGAGCCTGCCAGAGCAGGTTGGCTTTGTCCATCCTTTGTGCTTGCAGTGCAGGTGTGCATTTCCAGGCTGCTTCATCCCCGTTGTAGTTTATGATTAAGAGGAGAAACTTGTTGCATACCTGTGTTGGGGTCAGCTCAGTTGTCAGTTACAATAGGGTATGCTTGTAGCCATTTCCATGATTTGTGCAAAGAAGGCGTAGTTGACCCTGCTAACGTGGCTGGCACTTCCTGGTCTTGAATAAGAAGGAAGTTCTGAGTGTTTGGTTTGGTGCAGTGGTCTGCCCTCGTTCTCTGCACTTGGCTCTTTCTCATAAGTCTACCTGTCTGCAACCACCTGCTGCTTAGACTCCCCTTTCTCTTGGGTCTGCCACCTTCTCTACACAGCGGTTTGCTTCCCCTCTGTAAGCTATGGAGAGCATAAGGAATCTGCGGCGGCAGCAAGAGAAAGGGAGTTGCTGTGCTGGGTGCTCTATGAGGCATCACACGGTTCGCCTCACTTCTCCCCAGCCATCTCATTTGAGCTGTTTCCTTGAACACAGTCGAGAGTCTGAACTGCAAAGGTCCCTTTAGCTGGAGTAGGATGGACTGGCATAATACTACTAGAAGTTCGACGCCTGTTAGCATGAACAGCTTTTGTTCACAAGGCAGCCATGTGCGTCTCTCCTACCTTTCAGACATGTGTGTGGATGGGCTCACTCTCCCAGTACTGAGTCTACCTTTGTGCGCCCATGCATATGGGTGCATGCATTTGCCACAGAATCAGGTATAACCTGTGACTCTCAGATGGAAGCCACATGTGCTAGTGTTGCATGCTAGTCAGAGCAACAAACAGACTATGCCCATGTGATTCTTCCATCTGTATTCCAAATTAGCTTGATCTGGAAGACTCAACTCTAATATATAGTATTTAAGAGGTAGGTAAAGGCCTCATCTAAGAGTTTTGAATATTATTATAGCCCTTGAACCATTTTTATGAAGTACATAGGCTATAAGTAAAGAATCAAGAGTCAAAGGCAACTGTTGTATTATGTGATAACAGTGTTCATTTCACTTTGTGGAAAGAGTCTTGGGAGTTTGCTTTGTTCTAGATTCTTTAAGAAAAACTTGATACCTGTAAGCCTTGCCCATGGAGAGAGGATTAGTTAGAAGTTTAGCACTTAACTTTTCTAAGTAATGCCAAGTGAAATAGTATTGTAAGGACTGTAGCTTCATGATCATTTATTATTTATTAAAAGTAAAAATCCTTGGGTGAGAGGGATAGATAGCTCAGTGATAGAGGAAGGTCCTGAGTTAGACTCAGTACTGCAAACAAAATAGGATTTCTTACAAGTGAGAATTACTGGAGATATAGCTTAGTGGCAGAGCTCTTGTTTAGCATTTGTGAAGCTTTAGGTGCAATCCCCAGCATTCCAGAGGAGGTGGGGGGTGGTTCAGTACCTGCTGCAGTGTTCATTTTAACTTTGACTTGTTTGGAGAATTGTCCTTGTAGGTGAATCTACCCCCAAGTGATTGTATTTTATTTCTGTACTTTTGAGTAATACATGTGGGTTGATTGTTTTCTTTAATTTGGTGCTTGGAAATTTATAGGTGTACTTGGTAGACTATGGACTTGCTTATCGGTACTGCCCAGATGGAGTTCATAAAGAGTACAAAGAAGATCCCAAAAGGTGCCATGATGGCACACTGGAGTTCACCAGCATTGATGCGCACAATGGTGTGGGTATGTCCACAGTGGGCTGTCGTGTCCACAGTAGCTTGCTGTGTCTACATAGAGTGGCCTGGTGTGTCCACGGTGGCCTGTGCTGATGTTTCTGCACTTAATTATGCTAAATAAATAAGGAGACTGAAAAGAATAATGGAAGAAGCAGAGCGGGGTGAGAAAGGGGGCAAAGGTTTGGCTCCTACAGGTGAGTAAGGCCCTCGGGCATGCCCCTGCCCTTCAGGGATATCTGGGCCTTTGGGTTCCCACAGCTCACCTCTGTGCAGCATTTTTTCTGCACCCTGGTTCTCACAGATCACACCTTCAGTATCCTGGTTTCTTATGTACCACTTCTTCATGATGAGTAGTTTATGTTTTGTATAAGCTAGCTTAGTCTGTTCTCTGTGCCCTTTGCTGTGGCGAACCAGACAGTGTTGAGTGTAGCGTGGGGCTCTTTGGTCCCAGCTTGGTGCTGCGGCAGTGTCAGCATTATAGTGTCTTCAAGTCACCCAACGATAACAGTAAATATGAGGTGTTTATAGACTTTTATTTCCTAGATCAGTAGTATCACTTTGAAACCCCGAGGTTTCTCAGTTTGGGTTTTAAGTAAGTTATTAGTTGGAGATAAAGATCTCTTTTATACAGCCCAATGTTCAATGTTTTCATTACATGCCGACAGGTGTTTCTGCTGCAAGGTAGATGTGAGTGGACTGTTCTGTCTTTCTGGAAAGCTGTTGTGCTGTGCTTGATCTTCTCTTGTGTTTGTAGCCCCATCGCGACGTGGTGATTTGGAAATACTCGGTTATTGCATGATCCAGTGGCTCAGTGGCTGTCTTCCTTGGGAGGATAACTTGAAAGATCCTAACTACGTTAGAGATTCTAAAATTAGGTAAGGGATGATTTACATTATTTTGGGTTGAGTGGTGATGGGAAAAAGGAGTTTAGTCAGGATCTCTATGAGGTTTTGTTTTCTAAATTATTTATTTTATTTTATTTCTTTTGTAGGCAGTACTTTGCTGAGCTCTCCTGCCTCAGCCTCTTGAGTGTTTCTATGATAGGCATGTCACAGTCACCATGCCTGGCTCAGTGATGTTTAAGTTAGAAGGTGCAGGTTAGATAGCAGGGCTCTTTGAACTTTGCTGTTTCCGTAGAAGCACTGCCTGCTATGCTGTCCTGTCAGGAACTGTACTTGTAATTAAGGACTCCTTCCTTCCTCCACAGATACAGGGACAATGTTGCAGCTTTGATGGAGAAATGCTTTCCTGAGAAAAACAAGCCAGGTAGGGAAGGCTTCCATAGACCTTCATAGAGCTTTGTTTTCTAGGAGGAAAAAGCCCTCAGCCTGTGAGTCGGGGCATTTTAGGATGTTACCATTGTTGGGGGGTACAGCTTCTTCCTGAAAGCAGCTTTGCACAGTGAGCTGGTCTGTATGCTTTGGAACCTCATTTAGTTCCCCTTTGCTTTCAGCACGGGAATCATGCTTTGTTCTCTTAGCCAGTGTTTTATGGAGGTTGTATTATGTGTCAGAGACTGCTGTCAGTGCAGGCTGCACTCACCCCTGCCCTCAGGATGCTGGCTGGCACTCCTGTTGGGAGCTGCGGATAAGTACCCAACAATGGTCTTTGTTAGCGCATTATGCTGTTAGTCCTCTGGAGACTAAGAAAACAGGAAATGGAATTGGGAATGTAGAGATGGCAGAGAGGATAGGAAAGAGAGTTTAAATTTTGAGCAGGGTGGGCAAGGATAGCTTTGCGGAGGGAACTCTGCAGCATTTGTAGGGAGGAGGTGAAGAAGTAGCTGTGTAGAGGTTGGGAAGACTGTTCCAGAGGATATGAGAACTGTGTCCTTTTTGGTCATCATGAGGTCACTGACTTTGACTTCCATCAAGAGTCTACAGCTTGAAATAGAAGGGATGCCGATGGCCTTACTCTCTAGAACAGTGGTTCTCACCCTTCCTAATGCTGTGACCCTTTAATACCATTCTTTATGTTGTGATGACCCCCAACCATAATTATTTCATTGCTACTCCATAGCTGTAATTTGGCTACTAATTTGCATTGTAATGTAAATGTCTGCTATGCATGATGGTCTTAGGTGATCCCTATGAAAGGGTCATTTGACTCCCTCCTCAGGGGTGGTGACCCACAGGTTGAGAACCACTATTCTATTTCCTGGTTAAGGGAAGACCATGGGGAGGACCCAGCAGTGTGCTCTTCTGTTCCCGTCTATTTCTGTCCCCAGTCCTGGGCTGAGTGCACTAAGACTTCTGTTGTATGTATGTCTGTGTGGTGCTCTGTATATCTACTTTCTGTTAGTTATGTATTCTATTGGGCACTTTCCCATACAGATTGCCTATGTTTCACTTGACTGTGTGTAAGAAGTGGTCATATTCAGTTGACCTAGCATCCTATCTTAGACACTTTTTATCTACTGGTGTTTCTTCTGTCAGAACTCGTCTGCGTACTCTGTTCTTAGATTTGTTCTTTTTGTCTATTCCTGATTTCCTGATCCATTCTGTCTAAGATATTGCAACTTTTTTCTTTGGTCTTGCTATTTTTGTAACCTTTGTTCTTTTTTTTTTTTTTTTGGAAGAATGTTTTTACCAGGGTGGTAGTGGTACATGCCTTTAATCCCAGCAATTGGGAGGCAGAGGCAGGCAGATCTCTGAGTTCAAGACCAGCCTGGTGTACAGAGTGAGTTCCAGGATAGCAAGGAATACAAAGAGAAATCCTCTTCTCACAAAACAAAACACCAAACAAGAACAAAATTATGTGTTTGGGTCGTTCCCCCCCTCACATCTAAGTACCGTAACATGCATGCTTAGTGCCTGCAGAGGCCAGTAGAGGACATTGGATCTCCTGGAACTGGAGTTACAGATGGTTGTGAGTTCCCATGTGGGTGTTGGGAATGGAACCCACACCCTTGGATAAGCAGCAGTGCTCTTAACCTCTGAACCATCTCTCCAGCCCCTTCCTTTGTTCTTGACAGCATTTCCGTTGAATTCTTAGCACCACTGTCAGTTTCCTGTGTACAGTCTCCTCCTGCTTGCTGGGCTTTGGGGTTGGAGTGAGTCTAGTTTGATTTGGAGATCCTCTGTGACCCTGCGTCGTCTAACCCACTGTGGCAGCTCTTCCCTTAGGTCCCTCCTTCAATTCTGGTTGTATTTTGGTCTCTGCAGAAATCTTTTGCTGTCATCACAGTTGCATTGGGTAACTGATGCTTTTGTATTCTATGTTAAGAATTTTGGTTTCAACATTTCATTTCCAAGTTTTAACAGTAATAAAACCAGGGCAGATTTCTATGAACTTTTGCCCTGTATTCTGCACTGTGCTGTATGTACCTATTGGTTTTAGCAGCTTTGTAGATGCTGTAGGAATTTTGCTTTGTTGTTCGCTTTCCCTTTCCTTCCTCCCCTTTGTGCCTTTACTTGGTTTCTCTTATAGCCCTGGCTGGCCTTGAAATTGCGGTCCTCCTACCTCAGCCTCCTGAAAGCTAGGGTTACACATTTTCATACCAAGACCATTTTGTCATAGTCCTTGATGCAAGTCCATCTGTGCTGTTTGCTCCTGAAGACTCTCTGATGCCCTTTGACTTACTGTCCTACCTTTTGATGGCAGCTAAAGCAAACTTGACTGTTCTGTTCTGCATAGACGGTGGTGAAGGTGGAGCCCTGCTGTTTCTTCTCTAAAACAGAAACTCTCTGTTGTTTTGCCAGACACACTGGATGTTTATTTCAGGAGTTTTTTCTTCGTTTTTTAGATTTATTTATCTATTTATATATCACTGGGAATTGAACTCAGGACCTCTGGAAGAGCAGCCACTGCTTTTAACCGCTGAGCCATCTCTCCAGCCCCGCTGCTTCAGAAGTTTTTAAAAATGTTTAGTTAATTTTTTCAGATTCTTTTCTTTTTCTGCTAGGCTAGTGAAGGTTTGAGACTACTCCGTCCCTGTTGTATCTCTGCTGTCTGGAATAGAGCTTGGCATACAGCAGCCCTGAAATAGTTATACTAGTGGTTATATGTGTGTCTGGGTAGACACTGCTCTGGCGAAAGAGCATCATGTATCGATGTGGGATAGAGGAAAGACTGAAGAGGGGTTGGCTTGAGCTGGGAGGGTAGAGTTCCTAGTGACAGACAGGGAAATTTATGGGGAGCAACTTGGGGCCAGGTCAGGGGTTGGGGTTGGCAGTAATGATTGTATCATCAAGGACCTGATGATGAAACAGTGGATGCCTGTGTCAAGGAAACTTGTTTGTGAGGGGCCGATCCTGCCAGGTGATGTCTCCTCTCATTCAGGGTACTGCCTCAGTGCTCGGAGGTCCTGGCCTCTGTGGACATGGCTTGCTGCTTCTTGAATCTGCTCTTTGGGCTCTGTTTCTCATCTCATACCATGCAGCTTTCTGTTGTAGGACTCATAGCTTCTAGGATCACTGCAGCTCAGGACAAAGTACCCTCTGACTTCCCTTTATATTTACATTTTATGTGTGTTTGAATATGTTTTCTTACTGTCTCTCATGATTGCAGAAATGTCTTTTACATTGTGTCTCAATTGAAAGCATACTTTGCATTGACCTTTGATTGAGTACAAGGTTTCTGTTTTAATATGTTGCCCACATGTATTGTAATTTTACATGGGCCATGGACTATTTCCTTAGGAATGAGATAGACATATTGAGTTTGTGACTAAGAGTAATAAAATGATTGTGTTATTGTTTTAGGTGAAATTGCTAAGTACATGGAAAGTGTGAAATTACTGGACTACACTGAGAAACCTCATTATCAGAATTTACGTGACATTCTTTCACAAGGACTAAAAGCCATAGGAAGTAAAGATGATGGCAAACTGGATTTTAGTGCTGTGGAGAATGGAAGTGTGAAGAGAGAACCAGCCTCAAAGGTGAGTCTGGGTGTTGAATGGCCCTTTAGGCTTCTTTTGATTCAACGTGACAAGTGTTGTAGGCAGGGGAAGCCTTAGCTCAACAAGAACATATAGGTGGGTTGGCGGTTAAGGATTTACTGCCACGAGGAGGGCAGACTGATGGGAGAGCAGGTGTAGAGGACTAGGGACAGGAGGAATTGGAGCTCTCACATCAGGAGCAGGTTGCTAGATGTCTGAAGCGGCCTCATTTGTCATCTGAGATCAGCTGTTATTAGGGCACTGAAATTTTAAACTAGGAGTTCTTTCCTGCTAGGCTACCTTTAGTCTTGCTGTAGTTTCCCCTTGTTTATGGATATGGTGAATATGTCTCTGCTTGAAAGTTGGCACATGGCTTGGCTTGGCATGTCATCCAACATGAGCGGGATCTTTAAAGGGAAGTTGGGTTATCTGCATTTATGGGACTCAGTTGTTAGCAGAAAAGTACTAAGAAGTGATGAATGGTCAGTTCTTGCCGTACTTGTATATAGAGCCTGTGATGCATTTAGACGTCAGATTTTTATAGCTGTGCATTGTTAAGTGTTTACTGGTTACTCTGGATAATTGTTGATGAACTCGCTGTTCTAAAGCCTGAAATTAATTAATTAATTGTTTGATTGATTAATCAATCCAGCATTTATTTATTTACTTGCCCGCTCACTCACCCACTCATTTATATATTTGCTCATTTGCTTGCTTGTTTGTTTCTCTGTATAGCTCTGGCTGTCTTAAACTTGCTCTGTAGACCAGGCTAGCCTCAAACGCAGAAATGTGCCTGCCTCTGCTCCCAAGTGCTGGAATTAAAAGTGTGACTCACAGTGCTCAGCTTCAGTGTCTGAAATTTAATAAACTATGGTGGGTTGAGAATAGGGGAGAGAAATGGTTTAGAACAATGTTTCTCACCAGCCAAACTGTGCTTCCTCCTCCAAGTAGGTCCAAACCATGGGGATTTTCAAGGGAAGCAGAGGGGTTGCTAGTGTACCCCTATTTCAGATGGTCACTTTTACCTCAGCAAAATTTAGAGTAAGCCACTGTGGAAGCTAGCTGTCAATACTGAGGCAAAGAAACCCATGAGCAGAAAGCACGTGCTGCCATACTCTTACAGCTCCAAGATTATGAAGCTGCTTTGTAATCATAACTGAAGTAAGTTCTTTTTGGTTTTTCAAGACAGGGTTTCTCAGTGTAGCTTTGGAGCCTGTCTTAGAACTCACTCTGTAGATCAGGCTGGCCTCGAACTCAGAGATCCGCCCATGGAGAGTTTCTGCTACGTCTTTAACTTACAGAGGAGGTGGACGTCTCAAAGGTCGATGGATGATGGGTTTCCTTTCTCTGGGTAGTTTTGCTGTAGAACCTGGACTGCACAATACATCTGCAGATGTGTATCTTCTTTACGAGGTCTGCCTTAACTGCATCAGCTCTTCTTCGTGGACCATGCTTGTGCTTAATGCCTGCTCTAGGTTTGAAAGAGGGCAAAGTGGAAGCTCGATAGTGCACTTTGTTGGCATATGTCTTTCTGCTCATAGATTTCTTTGCATAGTATCTAAAGCCAGCTTCCACAGTGGTTTTCTCTAAATTTTGCTCATTGAAAAGTGATCACCTGCAATGAGAGGTATCCTGTTCAACACCCCCTTTTGTAGATTCCTGTGGTTTGAACCTACCTGGTGGAGGAAGCTTGGTTTCTTAGGTCGCTGACGTCACAGCTGAGTGGGTTTGTTTGCTGCAGAGAGTAACTGACCTTACAGTTTTCTTGTGTCCCCAAGGCTGGGGGGCTTCCTGTTGCATAACTTACATGTAGCGAGCTTTACTGAAGGCAGGAAAGAGGACATCTGAATATTGAACTGTTGGGAGCTTTGTTTCATCTGCTTGGGGACTTTCCTATACTCACTGACACATGGCTATTCTTTGTAGTAAAGGAAATTATGAAACACTAAGATTGGCCTGTGGCAAGATTATGAAGCTGCGTGGTAGTCATATAACTGAAATAAGTTCCTGGTCTGGCTGGATTTTCATCTTTTTGTTTGTAAGATGAAGTGGAGCAGACCGTTTGCTTTGACACCCAACTCCAGCCACCCTTCCCTAGAGAGTGAACCTAGGGTTTCATGCACATTATGTACATGCTTCTACTGTACCCCCAGACTCCTCTTTACTGTTTATTTTCCATAGAGGCTTTCACTAGCTGCTCAGTCTGGCCCAAACTCACTGTGCAGTCCAGGTTGGTTTTAAACTTGCAGTCTGGCCTCCCGAGTGTTATAATTGTAGATGGGGGTTCCCCTGGTGGACCACTGGCTGATCTGGACTTACTGGAAAGACTTTTGGTCCCCACAGTGTTGCAGTGTCTCTCAGGTCGCTGTGTCTTGTCTGTTCTGGATGCCTGCTGTCCAGTGACTGCCTGCCTACTGGTTCCCTTGCTAATGCTGGCTTCATGGTTTTATCTGATAGTGAGGGTCCTCTAATGTCACTCTGTAGAGTTGGCTTTGCTGATTGGGGCCCCTTTTATCTTTTGTGTAAATGTCAGAGTCAGATTATTTCCCCCAAAATAATTGAAAGCTTTTGATTGAGATTGCGTGGATGTGATGGGTCAGTTTTGGAAGAATGACTTTTAAATACAACATTCTCTCCATGAATGGGGCTCACCCCAGCTTTCCTTTTGTGTTCTTTCACCTGCCTTAGTTGTGTCTCAGTAGTTATTCTTTTGTTTTCAAGAACACTCGCACACACGCACGCACACACGCCCAGCTCTCCAGGGAAGGCAGAGTGAGTGCATCAATGGATAAGTGTGTGCATATGTGTGTGCATCCTGTGCAGGCTAAGAGGGCAGCTTGTGGGGGAATTTTGTCCACTCTTTCCACCACATTCTAGGAACTGGACCCAGATCATCAGGTTTGGTGGCAAGTTCCTTTACCCTTAAGCACTGGTTCCCATCCATCTGCCCTTTCTGGTTTTCTGTTGTGGAGGCCAAACATATCTTTACATGTATAATTTGTTTCAGTGGTTTAGTTATTTTTTGTGTCCTTTGTTGTCTGATAATTCTAAACCTTTCTTTCGTGCCATTCAGTTATTCTCTGGACTTTTCTGTTTTTAATACATAGATATCATGATGATTATTGTTCTATTCATTTGGCTGGACAGTTTTTTTTCTTTTTCTCTCCTCCACACTTTTGACTCATTCTCCCTAGATAGCCCAGGTTGGGTTCAAACTCTGGTTTTTCTTGCCTCAGCCCCCTATATCCTGAGATTATAAGCATGTACTTCCACAACCAAACTGCTTTTGTTTTTAAAAACAGTTTCATTGGGGTTAGAGAGATGACTCAGTGATTAAGAGCACCTGCTTAAGCAGAGGACCCAAGTTGGCCTCTCAGAGCTTATACTTGGCAGCTCTTAGCTATAACCCCAGCTCCAGGAGCGTCCAAGGCCTCCGGCTGGCCTCTGTGGGCACCTGCTCTTGAGTGCTCGTCCATGCGCGTGTGTGTGCACTTACACACATACATACACCTAATAAAAATAAATCTGTAAAAACTTTCCATTGGCTTTTAAAATGCTTTTTAAGCTTTGAATAGATTTATAAATTTTTGTATGTGTTTTTAATCATTAAGTCATCTCTCCAAACTCTTTTATTTTCTCCTTTTGTCTTTGGTGTTTCACTTGCTGATGTAACTTTTCTTTTGATTGCATTTATATCGAGTGGACAAAGTTCTGCCTGGGTTTGCTGGATTATTGTGTCTGTGAATCTGACTTTTACATCTTACAAAGCTGTTTTTCTTTTCTTCACAGTTTGGGATTTGAGCTCAGTATTGCTAACCACTTTATCTATCTGTTGGAGAACCTGTGGCCATCAGGCCGCTGGCCTTTTTTTTTTTTTTCACTAGTTAAAGGGGTGCAACTCTTGAGTCATTGCTTGGGTCTTGGTAAATCTACCATAAAAGCAGGACTCCACTGGTGTCTGGCTTTTGCACTGTGTGTCTCTTCTTTTTAATCTTTGGCCTCTGTTCTGGTAACTAAGTAATGGATGATTTTGATTCTTGTGCCACCAGGCCTTGCTCTTGGTGGCCACTGTAGAATGTGTTTCCTTTTCAGGGGTGTTTTAATGTACAGCGTCCCACTACCTGGCCAGCACTTTCTTTTATATCTTTCATTTTGGTTTTTCGAGACAGGGTTTCTCTGTGTATCTCTGACTGCCCTGGATAACTCTGTAGACCAGGCTGGCCTCAAACTTGGAGATCTGGCTTCCTCTGGCACCACACAGCTGCATTTTCTGATTGGGGATTACTGGTTAAGGATTTTAGAACGGTGTTCCCCAGTGTGACTCAGTGGTGGATAGGCCACACCTCACTTCCTGGATGTGCATCTGTCGTCTTCTCGGTCACTGCTTTCAGCAGCTGTTTGTGAAGAGGTGCCTTGTGCCATAGTGCTTGTTGCAGAAATGTCTCTAAATGGTTGTTTTGGGCTCATTCTTCAGGTTTTAGACAGGAAGATGCTGTGGATTCTTATCTCCCAAATGTCCCCACCCTTATTTTCTAACTCTTTTTAACTTGTTTGCATGTGAGCATTTAGACTTAATTAAAATCTGTGTCCATTGCCTCACAAGAGGCGTGTCTCCCTCTTATAGCCCATGTCTCACGTTGTTAAGAATGCAAGTCTCCTGTTGTTCCTCTGTAGAGTTCAACTTTTGTATTTCTGTTGCTATTTTTAGGATGACTGTGTCCTTTCTCTTGGATTCATTTTTTAGAGTATGAGCTCAAGTAAGGTTTTTTGTTTTGTTTTTTTTTTTTGAAGAGAGCTATAAATGGTAAACTTTATGAATCCACAATTTCTAAAAATGATGCTGTTTGTTCACTGAAAGTAATTTGGCCATAGACACTGCTGAGTTAGGCCTCAACTTTCAGTTTGGTTAATCTTGTTTGTTACTAGATTTCTGTTTTTTCCCCCTTACAGATGAAGCCTCTTGCTTGTCATTCTACCCCATCGTCCTGCTTTTCACCACAGAACGTAAGTGTGTGTGTGTGTGTGTGTGTGTGTGTGTGTGTGTGTGTGTGTGTGCGCGTGTGTGTGTGTGTGTGCGCGTGCTTCCTTTTTCATCTCCCCTTCAAGATCTTTGCTGATATCTGGGAGAGCTGGAATCTAGCTTTTCCTTTTCACATTAACTCTTGTACATTTTCTTCTATTTGTGAACTGATCTGTATACTTCTAGCTCACTCATCTTGTTCTACTTTTCAGTCATATTTTAGGGGAATTGTGATTTTCTTTGCGTCGCTTTATTATTCTTTTTCATTAATTAAATTTGTTCTTTAATACCTTAACAAATGTACATTATGCATGCTGAGCTCTCATATCATCCTATCTTGCCTTCTTTCGCCCTTTCTACTTCCTTCCTTTAGATAAATCTCTCATATTCATGTCATTGGTTTTGTGACTCACTGAGTTTAACTAGGGCAATCTGTGTGACCATAGGTTTTGGAGCTCTTTGTTGGTGTCTGGTGGGGGTCACTGTTGGTGTACAACTGAGGACAATGACTCCCCTTCTCCCCTAATTTGTTGGTAGCTAGTAGATCTCTAAGGCCCGGAGAGCCTCTCTCCCACCCATGACTGACTGTTTTACTAGCCTCCTAAGTCTCTTTATGGATGGAAATTGCTATTTTTAATGACTCTGAGCATAGAAAACCTGTGTGCTCTTTGGACTTAGTGTCTTCTTTTTTGGTTGTGTAACTTACCTTAGATTTTGTTCCTTCCCCAGTTGCCCATTTACCTGTTAATGTTTTTCTTTCAATGCTAGTGATATGAGAGATATTAATGGACACATGAGGGTTTCTGGTGTCAAGACTCCCGACTTCTCCACCTCCTCTGTCTAGTCTGGAGGTCCCTTTAATACAAATACCTCAGGCCATATATTGCAGATTTTTAAGACTGTCCTGGTCTGCATGCCAGATCACCTGGAAGCTCTGGCACTTTCCACTCCTGGACTGTGCTATTCACATCAATTAAACTATGGGAATGGGACCCAGGTCTCAGGAATGTTTAAAGGCTTCATAGATGCTCCCATCATTCAAGTGCAGTTGAGAACAACCACAAATCAAATATGAGCTCTAAGACTGTTTTGACAACAGCCTCTTTGTAAGTAGGCATATCTGATACCAGGAGTCTGGGACTTTAAATAAGGTTCGGCTCCATAGCCAGTTTTTATGTATGGCAGTGGTCGTACATGCCCTGTTTTGATCTTTGTGAACATGTGCATCTTGCTGTGAGGTACAGGGAACCATTTGGTACAGTGTCAGTGCCTTGAGCTCTTGAAAGAGTCAACCTGTTGAAGCAACAAGCAGGCATCTTGTAAGGTGTCCCTCCAGGCCAGGTGATTGAGTTTTCTCTCATCATGGTCAAGATGAATGCCAAGCATGCCTACCATTGCACTTTTAGTAAGGGATGGATTTAAAACCAGTTTCTGGTGGAAATAATGTTGCATTCTTTCTTATAAAGATGAAAGAGACACATGGATGCTGAGCTGTGGCCAACACATGCAAGGGTTAGTGGATAAGAGCTGTGGCACTACTTTTATTGATTCTTTGTGGGTTTTACATCATGCAGTCTGATCCTACCTATTTCCCTGTCCCCTTGCATCTGCCTTCTGCCCTTGCAACCTCTCCCTGACAAACAAAACCACATTTCAAAGGAAAAAAAAAGAATTTTGTTGTGGAAGCTGTAGTGTGGCCCAATTGAGAGACACAGTTTAGCCTTTAGTCTGTTCATCTTTACTTCCAAGTGTTCATTGCCACAAGTCGTTGGTCTGGCTCAAGGCCTATGGTTTCTGGTGCACCACACTGATAATGGGCTCCTCTTGGATATCCTGTTGTTGTCCTATGCCATCCATCTGTAGGTTCATCCCCTTCACGTGCTCCAGCAGTTCATAGATGAAGTGGGTTTTGGGGTAGTTCTGGACCTGGGTGGTAACAGGGTTAGTCAGCTAGCTAGCTTTCCAGTCACCCAGTTGAGCTCTCCAGCACTGCCTACGATAGCTCACCCAGAAAAGCCTACAATAAGGTACAGGGCCAGGTCCCTCTTACTTATATCACCAGGACCAGCTCTACTGTTTTGCCCAGGCAAGGTGCAAGGCCCCCTTTCCTGATTGTTGTAGGTGGCTCATGGAGAGGGGGTCAGCTCTTCTGCTCTCACGCCCTCAGGACTAGCTCACCTGTGACTCTGGCAACAGGGTCAGCTCTAGTATGCTGCCTGGCTGAGGTTTGGTTTTTACTGGTCAACATGGAGACAGACAGCTGTAGTGTGACCGTGTGTCACATCTGTAGTGGGTACTTTAGGGAGTCTGCAGAGGACCTGGAGCTGTAAGTAACCTTCAAGCTTCAGGGTGCTGACTGGCTGCTTCAGAGCCATATTCCACCTACTTTCAAACGGGCATTGTAGCAATCAGACGACACAGTGTGTTACAACTTACAAGAGGGGCTGGCAGCTCTGAGATGAAGGTTCCTTCCCTGCTGGCCTTACAAGTCCAATGACCTGAGCTTGATCTCCAGAATTCATGGGACTGTGGAAGGAGAGCATTAACTCCACAGAATTGTTCTCTGGCTACACATGTGCATATCCACCCAACCAGTCTCGCAATTACTAAATTCCCTGTCTCTGTCTCTCTGTCTCAGTTGTATCCCGTTCCCCTGTTCCTTCTGCACGAGCACGTGCACGTGTGTGTGTGTGGTCTCAAAAAAGGTAAACTGAGTTGCCTAGGGTCATGTAGCTGGCATTACACAGCTGTAGTGTAGTTCACCTCAGAGAAGCTCAAGGCACTTCCAAAACCTAGTGATTTTAGTCATAAAATATTATAGATAATTCAGGCATAACTAGCTGCCTGTTTTTGCCTTTTCCCATGAATTGTCTTTAAAACATCTTAAGTTTTTGATGTTAGTGGTACAAGTGTTGGGGCCCTCAGAGGAAAGCATTAGTGAAAAAAAAATTACATTAGTTCCAGCATGGTAGAGAATACACAGGTGTCAGTTTCTAGATTTCAGTTCACTGACTCTAGAAGCACATTAGTTTGAGTGACTCTCAGGGCTGCTCATGCTGAAGTTAGTCTGGGGGAGCACTTGCTGCAGAGGCCGTGCATGCCCTTAGATGTGTGGCTGCAGCCTTCCAGGCCCAAGTTGCTGCTTTACTAGGACACTCCTGCATGTAGTGTGCCTATTGCTGTGCCTATTGTTATTTGTGCTCACCTGTTTTTCCTAATAAGATAGGAATATCAGCAGGGACATCAGTGGTCTTCGCATAAATGCTTGCTGACGATTTCTGGTGTACTTTTTCAGGTGCTCACGGTAAACCTTTCGGTGGTATTTGAACTAGGAACTACTCTGTGTATTTAAACATTTTCCTTTTTAAAGCTTTTCTCCCCAGACTTATTATTAGTTGGCAAAATTACTTGAATTGTATTTCTTCTTATCCCCAGAGCAGATTAAAATTGTTAGTAGGAGAATTAAATTTAGACAACTAGAAAATTGTGAGTTGACCATGAAGACTTGTCAATGTTATACCTGCTTAAGAATGGATACTTTATAGAATGAAATCCCATGTACGTAGGACTTCATGGGGCATCCGCTTGTGGAAGGAATATGGAAAGTGTTTTCATACAGTGTATGAAAAGGCAGACAGGTGTAGAGACTGAATGCATGTGTGTTTAATGCTTTCCTAAAAGCTGAAGTACTTCTCTAACCCCCCCTTTTTTTTTTTTTTGTGAGACAGAGTCTCACTGTATAGCCCCTATTGGCCTGGAACTTATTATGTAGACCCGGCTGGCCTCCCACTCACAGAGTACTGCCTGCTTTACACTCCTTTAGTGCTGGGATTAAAGGTATGTGCTATCATATCAGGCTGTTTTAATCTATTCTATTTGTTTTTCTAATGTGCAGAAGAAGCTAGTCACTGTGCTAGCACACAGTAGACGCTGTCTTCATCTGGGTAGCGGCTGGTGCTCTGAGAAGAGACTTGACAGTGCTCCTTGCTCTCCCAACAGTCTTCATGACTGTCCCACTGCCTCCTAACAGTATTGGGTGGGCCCTTTGTCCATTTCCTAGCCTATTTCCCATGTTTCAATTTCTCCTTCCAATTGTAGATGATCTTTTCTGATGTTTTCTTCAAGTGTATCTTAATTATTTAGTTTCCACTCAAATAGTACAGCATTTGGCAGACCCAGGCAAGACTGAACTAATCCCTGCCATGGTTGCAGTAGTTGGATAGCTGCTGTATGTGCAGATCCGTGTATGGTACTGTGCTAAAGCTCCGCTGGGGTTAGGAAACCCTCCCAGGAAGAACACATGGAAGGAAGTAGAGATTTGAAAGCCACTCTGACAAGAGCACGGGCCTGTGCATTCTTCCTCCTTGGAAAGGCCCATCTGAGTAGCATAGTGGTTAGCAGTGGCTAACCCATGCTCACAAGTCATGTAAGGAGGAGACATACTTCTGCCAGAGGACTGCTGGGGGAATAAGGACCTCTGGGCTCTAGTCTCCTTGTTGCCCTGAGCTGAGAAACAAGGAGCACATTCTCTTTGGCATTCTTGTGTCCCTCTCTTCATTTTTTCATCTAGTACTTTTTAATTGAATCTGGTAGGTCCAGGTTCTGTGGCACACTATGTTTGCTGTCCCTCACGTCATTCTCCCCCAGTTACTTTTAGTAACTAATGTCCTGTTGTGGTTACTCCTAGAGAGTAGACCAGTCTGAGTTGTGTGCATTTGCATGGTGACTTTACTAGGCTCTGACAGCTAAGTAAACTGGTTTGTATGTATTTGTGCCTGAAGATCTTTGGCAGGGAATTTTAGGCTGATACGTTCTTTGTTTTTAAAACAAAAATGATGCCTGTATCAAGGGGAAGGCAAATGAGAGCATCTCTTGCTTCTTTGGTGATGTCCATGGGTCTGGCTGGTGTTTCCTAGAGGCTGTCAGCCGCTCTTGGACATGACCTTCTTGAGCAGAGAATCAGTTGGTCTGTGGTTTTGCCTCTGAAGATTTTTGTTGTCTTTTCTATTGAAACAATTCGCTTGGTCTCCAGTCAGTGTTTAGACTGTTAGTAAATTATCAGTCCAATACATCCAGCTGATTTGTCTTCCTGTTTCTAAATTGGAAGTGAGAAGCAGCTAATTAACTGAATTTTAACCTAGAATATCTGAACACTTTAAAAACATAATGTGTAGTATATATGTATACTAATGTCCTTTGAAATAAATCTATTTTTCAAGACCTTTTTCTGTGTTGAATTAAAAGCAAATTCTATCCTGTGTGTATTTTGTAAGTTGCCCCGGTGTGTCATATAGTATCTTGGTTTCATTTATAAATGCAAATAAAGGTACCTGTGAGACATGGCATAGACTCTCTCAGAATCAGAGATTGGCACAGCCACTTGGGAAGTCTTTTATTCTGGGAGGAACTTATACCCACACACCCAAAGCCTAAGAGTGCTGACAAATACTCAGAGAACCGAGCAGCTTCTTGTTTGGGATGTTGGGTGTTGCTGTATGGGCCATGTCCCATCCTTACACACTGTCAAGCTAGACTGGATTCGTTTTATTTTGCTAACTGGTGATCTTTATACCATGGACCCTTTCTCCCTAGACAGCATGTTGCTGTCAGGAAAGTTGGGTAGGAGCTACCCGGTTGGTATGTGGATAAATGTGACCCACCGCTTTCCCTGATGCACAGGTGTTCCTTTCCTTGGCTGAATGCTGTCTGATTTTTATTCCTTGTAATTCACCTGTATGGAGATGAAGAAAGCTCATTTTTATTAAATAAGCTTCAAAACAGAATGAATGTGCTAGGCTTTTTGGTAGGAAATGTTGGCTAGCTCCTTTATAATGAGCATTTAAAAACTACCCTCTACAATCTGGAAACTGCTTTCTGTTCTATATGGAACACAGAACAGTGCTGAAATATTCCTCCTTAATTTTGGTCTGAATGTACGAAAGTGTCTGTGTTTATCCCTGCCTAATGCATCACAAGTCTGCTGACACGATAACCTTGGAGTCTTGGCTGCCGTTAATCAGGCCTGTGAACCGGCAGGAAAGACGTACCTAACACACTCCATCAGTGCACTTGCATATGGAAGCTCTCACAGGGGAGCTGCCCGTGCCAGCTGAGGGTTACCTGCCCACTGCAGTTATTGTATGTAATTATCGAGCCAATCTGTTCAACCCAGCAGGGTTTAGATGGTAATCATGAAGCAACACTTCGGAAAAGAAAGATGTAAGGCATTCTCCCCTTCCCTCATCAGCTATGTGAAGTTAGAGCTGTTCTTATAGCTGTGTTTGAGAAGCAATACCTTCTTATAAAAGTCTCCTAAGTGAATGCCATTGAAAGTTCCTTAAGATTTAATCAGGTGTTTCTGTGTGTGTGAGCTCTTTTTCATCAGGGACAGGCTAGGTTCCTCTGAGTTCTGACCTTCTGCAGCCATCTTATACATGTCTTATAACAGAGGGATTGATCGTGACACACCTACAGTGGTTCTAAGCGCTGGCTATGAAACATGGTGGCTTGCACAGGTTGGTTTCGTTTATCTAGGGCAGAACCTGTGGTTACCATTAGGGAAAGAATGCTGTGCTGTCAGTGAATATTATCTTCTGCAGTATACACAAAATGGCCTGCAGCAAGAGATGAAGTTGAACTTAATTGCTAGACAGTGTAGTGAGGACGTCCTGTTGCATCGTGCTGTGGAGTCTGGGACATGTCAAATGCATTCCTAAATGATCCAGAATTACTTCAGGGAACTTAGAGAAGCTCTGAATTGGAATTCGGACTGCAACACATTTAACTTTGGACAAACTACGTAGGATAAGGCTACATGAAAAATTAAATGTTTTATATTTATTGCCAACATCCTTCTATAAAAACACCTATAGAGAGATGAGCTAATTAAATGACTCAGAACAGGGTGGATTAGCTCAGTCTTATAGAGTGTTTGTGAAGAGTGGAGAGCAAAGGAGTACAAGCCCGTTCTCCAGATGCCACGGCCAAGAACATGGCTGACTTCTGGACCCGTGTGGATAATCTAAATTGGCTTCCAGATGATTAGGAGAACTTTGTACTTAGAAGGTTGCTCACAGCCATGTTTAGGGCCCATCATTCTAAAGAAACCCTGGTTCATGGAAAGAATTTGCCATCAAATTTAGATTCCAGGTGTGAGGTGAGGTGTGCATCCTTTCTTGGGCTCACAGCCTCTGCATCTTCCTCCATCCCTGTTATGTAGAATGAGTCTCACTGGCCTGTGAAGGTGACAGCAAGTTGGCAAACATTTCATGTCTTCAAACAGGACTCAGTGGCAGACTAAAGCTTGGGAAGTTAGAGACGGTGGAAGAAAAGACCCCACCCAGGCTGACTGCTCCTTCCCATAAGTTCTTCTGTAGGTTGTGAGACTCACACTTGGATGCGCTAATTTATGTATATTTGCTTATGTGGGCCCCAGACTAGTCTTACTGTTTCTCTTTTGTCTTTTAAACTTTCTTTCATACGTAAGAAGAGGAAGAAAGTAGAAGAAAGCACGGCGTGCAGCGTGGAAGACATGGAGTGCTCAGATACTCTGGTGGAAGAGGCCATACAGACTCGTAAGTGAGGAGCCTTGCTCCCAGCCTTCCTTATACAGCCCCAAGTTGCACTTCCTCCCGCATGACAGACCAACTCGGGAGGCAGAGGCAGGCGGATCTCTGTGAGTTTGAGATCAGCCTGGCCTACTAGTTCCAGGACAGCCTCCAAAGCCACAGAGAAACCCTGCCTCGAAAAACCAAAAAAAAAAAAAAAGGTATTGTGAAGGTTTTGTATTGCATAGCATGTATTGGATTGTCTTTCATACACACGTTATGTTGCTCACTCTTCACAGCAGTCATGACTGGGCCTTGGGAGGTAGAGACCACAATGCCTGTCAGGCCACAGCTTTCCTCCCCCTCTCACTGGGCCAGGTAACTGGTGGTGCTTGTGCCGCAATCCACTTCTCCGCAGCCCATCTCAGCCAGTTAGGAGGTGAGGGATTCAAGCTTGGAAACTTCACTGTTTAAAGCAGTTGATGAGGGGCTGGCACTGAAGGCAACGCCTGTAAAGCCACAGTTAGAAATGGCATCAGCAAAGACAGCATCTGCACAGCCAACTAAGACTGGACTTGTCTGGTGTGCTGGTGTCTCCATGCAGTGCTTTCCTGGACTGAGTGCTTTTGGAAGATTTCTTTCCTCTTTCTCAGCGTTTTTGTTTACTAGTTTGTTAGTCCTTGGGCCTTTCTTAATTTTTGATGAATAGTCTTCTTTTGGGCAAAAATGCCATGATAGCATAAATGGCCTGTTGACCTAGGCCAGCACTGTATTTTGATAGTGGCTCTGGTTCATGTTGGAAAGCAACTTTTGAACGACAGCCACCTTTATTCTGATTTTATTACCATTTTCTCCTTATATATTATGGATCCAACATGGTTGGGCTCATCTGCCTTTACCTAGAGAGTCGCTGGGCTCTAGGAGAGTGTCAGTTCAGGCCAGCACTCTGCAGTAGTTCTTTCCCTCCTAACGCTGCCGTCTCCCATTTGCTACTGTTTGTTTTTTACTGCCTCCTTCCCTGTCTTGTTCATTTTGTCACTAGGAAGTGAGGAGTCCCAAGGAGCAATACATGGAAGCATGTCTCAGCCAGAGGCGAGCTGCAGCAGCTCTGACAGTGAGTGGGAACGCACTAAGTAGCACTGATGAAGACATTCCTTGCTTACCTTTGAACACACCCTCGAGCTCTAAAGCAGCCTCGTCATTGCAGTTGATTCGAGTCCCACGTCGTAGTAGGCCAGACCAGGAGGCGGTCCAGGCAGGCCCCAGATGTGCTTTAGTCAGACAGCCTCTCTTAGTTGCCTGTGGGTCATTGGCAACCTGCATGCTGCTTGATGAACACAGAGGTTTTTGCTTTGAGAGTGTGTGACTTAAAATTCTCCTTGTAACTATGAACCCTTCTTAGTGCTGGCAGCTTTGGTATAAAATTGTAGTAACTGTAGTTGGCAGTTCTTATGAGAAAGTGTCACCAAGTATAGATCAGACTCCCGATTTAGGACTGCTATAACTTTTTTTTCCTTTTGCTTTTCAAGACAGGGTTTCTCTGTGACATAGTCCTAGACCAGGCTGGCCTAGAACTCAGAGATCTGTCTGCCTCTGCCTCCTGATTAAAGGTGTGAGCAACCACACCTGACTGCTATAACTTTTTAAGAATGACCAGATTCTTCTATCTTCATGCAAACTCAGAATGACTTTGCTTAGGTTTTTTTGGTTTTCCCTTTGAGATGATCTTACAGTGTAACCCTGGCAGGCCTCTAACTCTCATGGTAGCCTTGGCTGACTTTGAACTCAGAGATACATTTGTCTCTGTGCCCCCCTCTTAGTTGGGATTAAAGGGGTTCACCACTATGCCCAGCATTTGCTTAAATATTTTTTGTTTGTTTGTTTGTTTTCTTTTCTTGTTGTAGACAATTTCCCCCCTAAAGTACAAAGGAACTTATTTTACTATCAGAATATTCATAGGGAAGAAATATTGCTTGAGGTGGTTGGTAAATGTTATTGATTCTAGGGAGAAGAAAAAAACAGGTCAAGTGTCATGTAAATGTGTATACATTTATACTCATCAGTTTAAGTCACTTGATGGAGAGGGCATATTGTTGCCTTTGAGTTTTTTAATATTTTGAGAAATATGATAAATTCTATGAATTTTGTGGTTGGGGCTTTAGGGTTTTGTGTCATAAATGTGTTTTAAGAATGACTGCCTTTAACGGCAACTTTAGAAATGTCAGTTTCTTCATTAACAATTTTATTTTCAAACACAATTTATGGTTTACAATGTAGTGAGAGACTTTTCTCGCCGTGTGATCTTTTAGAATGCTGTGCCTCACAAAATGGGAGCAACTTTACTTTAATATCTATTTAGACCATTTTAAAACCATGTGTAATTTTCTTGATACACCTAAACTCATTTGGAATAGTTGGGGGTCTATTGTGTGGGAACACACTCTGAAAGCTTTCTGTGTGTCATTGTGAAGGCTGTGAGAGAGAGGGGGGACGGCGGTGCCCCCCAAGAACAGAGGCCTCTAATCCTTTTATTTTTATGCAAGGCATAATTTTTACCAATTGAGAAAATTTGGTTATTTGCTGCAAGTAATTTTTCCCCCTTACAAAATGATAAGCCTTAAAAACCATGTATATTCTGGTATTTCAAAACCGTGCCAATATTTCAGAATTGACTAAAAATTATTTTATGTGGCCATGACACTTATGGCTTGTGTGTTTGTCCCTGTTGGACAGTGGGGACTACTCTTCTGGAGATTACTTAGTTGTGAAGCACCGAGGGCTGGGAAAATACCAAGCAGTCAGGGACCAGATGTTTTCCAAGAAAACCCCGCTGGTATGCTCCCCACATTCAACTATTTATAAAACGGTGGGAGGGTTTCCCCAAACTCATGTATTTTATTTTTCTGCTATCAGATTTTACATGTTAGTTTTATGATTAGATCTGTTGCCAACAGTACTGTGTTGTGATCATGGTTGTATTTTAAAGAGACAGGAGTGTAGCAGAACTGATCATTAGGTGAGACACTGAACTGCCTTGTGCAGCACAGACTCCCAGGTGATGGTCGGTTCTGAGTCTTTAGATTCCAGGAGGCAGCAGCATTCTGAATTGCAACAAGCAATGCTAGGTCTAGACCACGGGGATAAGCAGTGGTAAGTCTAGACCACAGGGTGAGCAGCGGTATGTAGCTTAAGAGTGCATCGTATGGCATTTGTAAGAGAGCATTGCTTAAATACAGTGCAGCAGTCCCCTCGGTGTCTGCCGTGTTGGGACTCAGCTCACTGGAAAGGAGCCGTTGGTGGTGTTGATTTTGAGATGGCTGTCAGGACAGCCTCACAGTCATAGCATATTTCGTTTTTGTTTGTTTGGTTGTTTTTTTTGTAGATTTAACTTTAAAATTCTAGAAATAAAAACCTCAAAATATACCACAGATTTTTTTTTTTTACAATATCAAAGCTTTTAATCTCATCCTTGTTAGTGTAGGTTAACTATACGTGACAGTGGTTTTGTTGTGGTACTCATGTTTCCGTAGAATGTGTTTGTTCCTGCCATACTCCCACAGATGCCCTTCTCTCCCCACATACTGCCTCTCCTACTTCCATGTCTCCATTTGTTTACTTACCTGGCTAGCTAGTTCCTGCCCAGAGAGTTTCATCAGGGTTCTCACAGGGTCCTTACTTACAGGAGCAGGCTCCTCACCCCACCCCAGCAACCATTACTGCCTGTGCACATTCAGAGAGGCCTGGGGCTTTAGGAGTCTCTCTAGCTACCACTATGTCACAGTTAAGAAAAGCCCCAGATTGTTAGTTAGCCATAGTGAACTGCTGTGTGAACGGCGGGATGGACCCTCACAAAAGTCTTAAGGTTTGCTGTGACTGAACTGAACAACAATTGAACAGAAACTAACTGGAAAAAAAATGATTTTAAAACTGATTTTCCAGCTAAGTAACTAAAACCACCCATAATCAGAATACCTTTAGAAGCTATAATTACTTGTGTGGGATTAGAAATTTGTCTCAGATTCAAAGAAAGTTCTGCCGAAGTTTTTCCAAAAAGAAGTCGATTAACTATCAACTACCAGGATGCCCTCATTCCAGTGCTGTGTGTCGTTCTGTTCCAGAGAGCTTGAGCTGGGGAAGAGCATGAGGCCAGTGCTAGGCAGAGTGGTCAGACTGGGGAGAGAGATCCCCGTGTGAGGTGGTAGGAAGTGTTCCTGGGGGCCTTAGATCATTATTAGCTGTGAGTGCCAACAGGGAGGACTGCCCGCTTAGCACAGCTCAGTGCCCCCTGCCCATGAGCATGGGGGACAGGCTGTTAAGACAACTCCTGAAGCAAACCCTCCTGCCCATGAGCATGGGGGACAGGTTGTTAAAGACAACTCCTGAAGCAAACCCTCCTGCCCATGAGCATGGGGGACAGGTTGTTAAAGACAACTCCTGAAGCAAACCCTCCTGCCCATGAGCATGGGGGACAGGCTGTTAAGACAACTCCTGAAGCAAACCCTCCTGCCTTTTGTGCCTTGTGTAGTCCCGGGTTGCACTGGAAGTTAATGTTTCAAATTTTATAATACTGAGATGGGCTAAGCCTAGGAAGTAATCTGACAGTTCATAGACTCTCCAGCAATAGTGAGGCTTTGTGTGGAGTTCATCTCCACAGATGACAGTCAGACAGACACGAAGAGATTTGTGTTTCTGACTCCTTTCTTTTGTGAGGTAATGATTACTGATGTGACTTTCTCTGATTCTTCTTCAAGGTTCAAGAACCAGAAAGAAAGCCCAGAAGTGAAAGATGCCAGGAACCGACTTTTCTGCCTATTCATTGACTTCTTTCTCCTTTTCTATTTTACGTTTTTATTTTCATGTGAGTCTTGTGGGGTTGTAGTAACAATTAAATGCTATTTTTTTTTGAAAAACTTCTATTAAAACGAATATTTTGTGTACTTTATTGAAGGGTAGTTTATAAAATACCTGAATCCTTAATTGTTACAACCTATGTGGTCTTGTGGCTTGGGAGTGTGTGCCGGTTCTGGCTGCTGTGCGCACCCCAGATGGGTAGATTGCTTGGCAGACTCCTGGCTTTTAGGGAAGTGCAGAACTTAAAGGTCTGTTTTACTCAGTGTTAGGTATACAATTAAACTAAAGTTTGGTCTACATGGATACCTGCTGTATACACAAAGAGTGCAGTGAATACAATGCATTTATGAGAAACACATATTTTAAAGTCAGATCATGTAAGAATAGTATGGAAGCTAAGTGGTAGGACAGTGGACAGTGGTCACTCACTCAGTGGTGGCAGGACCAAAGATATGATAAGCATCTGGCGCTCTTCAAGGAGGTCCTGTGAGCAGAGTGTACAGAACCTCTCTGTGGTGGTGTGAATAGGAATGCTCTCCACAGACTGATGTCTTTGAATGCTTGGCCCATAGAGAGTAGGGCCTTGTGGAGTAGGCATGGCCTTGCTGGAGGAAGTGTCATTGTGGAGGTGGGCTTTGAGGTCTCAGATGCTCAAGCTACACTCATTGTGGGGCACAGATTCCTGCTGCTGCCTGCGGATCAAGATGCATCATGTCTACCTGCATGCTGCCATGAAGACGATGGACTAACCCTGAAACTGTAAGCCAGCCCCAATTAAATGTTTTCTTTATAAGAGTTACTGTGGTCATGGTGTCTCTTCACAGCAGTAGAACACTGACTAAAAACACTTGCCCACTTAGATGGTTTTTCTTGCAATTTCGTTTGTGTAGAAGTGATAATTTGTAAAGCAAACCCAGGTTCTCTAGAGGTTTTATTGGATTTGTTTTTCTGGTTTTCTGAGTCTGATTTACCTAGCCCATTTGCCCTCAGATTCCTGACCTGCCTACCTCTTCCTCCCATGCTATAGTAATTGTAGAGAATACAGTCGTGTGCCTCACATAGCTGCAGGGGTTACAGCTGTGCACCTCACACTAGCTGCAGGGATCACAACTGTGCATGTCACAGTGGCTGCAGGGGTTACAGCTGTGCACCCCACAGTAGCTGCAGGGGTTACAGCTGTGCACCCCACAGTAGCTGCAGGGGTTACAGCTGTGCACCCCACAGTAGCTGCAGGGGTTACAGCTGTGCACCCCACAGTAGCTGCAGGGGTTACAGCTGTGCACCTCACACTAGCTGCAGGGATCACAACTGTGCACGTCACAGTGGCTGCAGGGGTTACAGCTGTGCACCCCACAGTAGCTGCAGGGGTTACAGATGTGCACCCCACACTAGCTGCAGGGGTTACAGCTGTGCACCCCACAGTAGCTGCAGGGGTTACAGCTGTGCACCCCACAGTAGCTGCAGGGATTACAGATGTGCACCCCACACTAGCTGCAGGGGTTACAGCTGTGCACCCCGCACACTAGCTGCAGAAAATACAGTCATGCACCCTATACTAGACTAGCTGCAGGGGTTACAAATGTAGCCCCACAGTAGCTGCATGGATTATAGCTGTATCTCACATATTAGATGCAAGATTTTTGTGATTGGAAAACTTAAGATGTAGAGTTTTCCACGTTGTTTGAGGAATAAAGCTCAGAAATATTTAGCAGTTTATGAACAATTTCAAGAGACATTCCTCAGAAATTACCGTTAGAGGAATCAGGATTGGACATGTGTTGTGATGGACGAATAAGTACCATGTATAGTGTGTTTGGCAGTGTGGGCTGTCATCGTGTATGCTCACTCATCTCAGTGCTTAAAGACAGTACTGAGTAAATTGTGTGGATGGTCAGCAGAACAGAGCCGTGACTTGCTCTGTTGACTGTTGTCACACAACTTCATCATTGGGCCAGGGTGCAGTCATCGTGTGAAGCAGAGCTGCAGCCCAGCGGCTAGTAAGTCAGTGATCCCGAGTTCCAGCTGCAGGTCTAGAGAAAGAATTCCTGTGGGGCAGCGACTGATGCTCTCCTCAGAATGTAGGATTGTGATGCTGAGCAGTGTGTCGGTCCTGAGTATTTGTAACACCTAAATCGACTCCCGAGTTCTGTTTTAAACACATTGATGCTTAAAATAGGATAAAATGTGTGTGATGTGTTTGTCTGTGTGCTGTAGCCTTTTTTTATTTTTTAAAACACAAAACAGCACAACCTGTTGGTTAAATATTAAGAAAACAAATATTTCCTCACATATTGTTTTAAACAAGTGCTGACATTTTTTCAAATGTTACTATATTGGCAGGGCTACATAAATTAGTGAAGAACTACTAGCCAGAAGTAGCCCGATTGGCTACCAGCAGCTAGTGGGTCCCTTGTTCTTCTGTGCCCTTACCCCTGTTGAGTGCGGTTCTTCCCAGCTTGAGCCGTGTCAGCACCTGCAGTTGTTGCTATTATCTGCCCATTTCAGGTCCTTGAGTTTCTATCTTCTTGCCAGTTCCTGAGGAGGGGGTTTGCAGTCTCTGTTCTCCTCTTGCAGCCCAGCATCCATACTCTAATCATGTGCACTTAGTTTTGTGATGTTTTCTGGCCCTTGAGGATCATCCATCACCTGTGGCAGGCTCCTGTGTTAGCACAGAAGGATTTAGCTATGGTAACCAGGTAAGCCCTAAGAAAAACAGCTTCTTGTGTTCTTCGGTGGTGACTTCCTAAGGCAGAATACTTAGACCAGAACTGTAAAAGGAGCTCATTTCCTTGAATTGCTGAATTAGCTGTGCCTATACAGACCCAAGTTGCACAGCACTGCCTCAGTGTGGAGGTGTGGTTTGTCTTTGTGTATTTGGATGTGTGATGTAGAATATTATATTTCTTTTTTATATGTTGTATATTACAACAATTGGAGGGTTTTAATAATACACAGCCATTGTAGAAGATTTAAAATATGCAGTAAAATGTCTTTGACTACCATTCCCAGACACTCACTGTTCATAGTCACACTTTATTTTAACTTTTTATACTTTATTTTAAATACTTAATAGACCACTCCATGGTCTCTTTTTAATGTTGTAGTTATTTTATGGACATAACTGTAGTGTTTCTTCTGGGTTTCGATCTTTTTATAACTTTAATACTGGACTTTAAATTTTTACCAGTGTTTCACATTATAAACAGTGTTCTTGAACAAAATTGGGCAGCCGATTCCCGAGATTTAAAAAAGTGAACACTAGCTGAAGCCTATGAAAGTTGCTGAATTGGTGTGTGCTCTCATGTTAGTGCTTTGCCCTGGTTTGCCTGGTCTCTATCTTGATGACATCCAATGCCGTGTCCCACCTGCCTTCTCCGTGAGTCACTCTGTCCCCTTCCATACTCAGGTGTGAGTATTGGAAGGGGTGTTTTGGACAGTAGTCACCAGGATGGGATTTGCTGAATGACATCAGTATGCTTGCTTGTAAGAGGAAGCAGAAAGTGTGGTCTCTTTCCTATGTATGGCTTCACCAGGAATAGTATCTACACCTTGGCCTTGGACCTGATGCCTGTTGTTTAAGCCAGAAGACTCTGGGTTTGTTCCAGCCTCAGCCAAGACATGATTGTTTTTCTTGGTCAGATGAATTTGTTGTTGCTAGCTAAACAGTTCTTTATTTGTAAATTCAGTGTGTTTATGTATATTGCTTATAGAATAATGACCAGAGCCATTTGCCATGATTTTTTTGTTTGTTTCTAATTACTTTTGAGTTTTCATAATGATTTATTTTTATGGCCTTCTCTGTTACTTTCCATTCTAATTTCTGCCAGTATATTAAAAAATATCTTCTAATCAGAAATATTTGACATGACTTTTGTTGTAAAGTTTCTGAATTTGCAATTGAAGTGGAATTTGTTGTCATGTGTGTGCCATTAGGTGAGGGGGGACCTTTACTCCACAAATGCACACACGTGTGCATGTCCACACAGACACACACAAATGCACACACGTGTGCACGCATGCACACACACGCACATACGCACAGAAGGAAGAGTTTTCTTGGTTGTTTTCAGTGGTTGCTAACAACTGAATTTGCTCAGTGCAGAAATGCTACCACCTCTCAAGCTACACTAGAGATTCAGGAATGCTCAAAAGCTGCAAACTGCTGCAGCCTCAGGTAAGACGCCATAGAGCTGTACCTGTGTTCATGTAAGTGCAGTCTTAGTAGAGTGGGGGTGGCCAGCACTTCTCTGAGGAAACCCACAGCAATCAAGGATGTGCCTTATGTACAGCCACCCGTAGGCTGTACCAGATGTGTACCTTTTGACAGACTAACTTTGTAGTGTCTTGTGCTTTAATTCCAGTTCCAGGGGATCCGATGACCTCTCCTGGTCATCTTGGGTACCCAACACACACAGTGCACAGACATACATACAGACAAAACATTCATACAAACATTAAAAAAAAAACTTATAAAATAGAAAACTGCTTAGTTCAACTTTGATGAAAATTGATTTATTTTTAAATGAAAATTGGTACATAATTCTCAAATCTGAGAGAGGTGCTGTCCTCTTACTTTCCCCATCAGGGACCAGATCCCGTCGTTATGGCATCCGCTGAGCACTGCCCAGCTCTCCTGTGGAGATTTATCATGTGCTTGGTGGCCACTGAATGGAGGTACTGGAGTCTTTAAAGTCCTCAAAGCATCAGGGCTCCTGAGGACTGGAAGGGAGGTCCCAGGGCAGTCTGTTGGCAAGGCAAGTCGAGCTGGGAAATGCAATGGTTCTGTTAGCTGCCTGGGAAGAGAGGAGGACAGTGCCTCGGAGGCGAGTTAACTTGCAAGAGACGCGTCTTTGCCGTCCCCAAGGCTGGGCAAGCAAGATGGCTAGGCAGGTGAAAGGTACTTGGCCATGGATGCCTCACAACCTGAATTTGTATCGAACTCATGGTGGAAGGAGAGAGCTGAACTTTAAAGTTGCTCTTTGACTTGCACGCATATGTGCACACACACACACACCGTGCGAATGTGCCCTCATACACATGCATACCAATAAGAAAGGTTTTTAAAGAAATACTTGATATGCTTGAACATTT